GATATGATTTCAGAATTGCTCAAATATTTTCTATTGGTGACTACCTCATGGAATGATTTGAATGGCCAAAAGCAGCACATGGTCATGCAGTCAGCACGGTGCATCTTACATCGCATGGTGTCGCATCCCTGAGGCCTTTGATCCCGCCCGAGCACTGCAGCGGAAGCACCAGATCGATGGACCTAGGATCCCTGGCAGTGCGCCAGCAAGTGAACCCGCAACTGGCAGCCATTGCCTTGGCAGCCTCACAAAGGTGGGGCACCGGCTTGGGACATCCAGATCCACAATGATCGACTACTAACATCTACATCATCATACATCTACCAACTTACTAACTATATACTGGTATCATCTAGTATCCAACCATTATCCAACCATCCAGCCTTTTGGATCCTTTTGGGCTTTCTGGTTGCTCCGCCTTCAATTAATTGCTCTCTGGCAAATCAGTGGGAGGGGTGATGAATGGTGATAAGATGTGATAGGTCTCTATTGGGCTCTGTCATACTGCATAGGGTTCAGGTAAGGTGGGTGATTTAGACACGTATCATGGCCTTGTTCTGGCTTGTGATGCTCCTGTAGCCGGTCATGTCTTGGAAGGACATGCCAGAGGTCCTTGAGATTCCGAGGGGCCAGGGTGAACTTGGTTGATTTGCTCATTTTCGTGGAGAGATTGGTTCCATCTGGGCAAGTGAGTGGCTTCTTCAACGAAATCACGGAAAACCGTTGTGAGATGGATGTGTTCTCACACTTTCACAAGGCTTCGGACTGGTGATATCTGGTGATGCAAGAGTGTCGCGTAGCCACACAAGCAACGGAGCTCGCAAAATTCCTTGGGGAGGGTGTGAGTAGCACATGGATCTCTAGTCAAAGTAAGCTAACTTTTGTGCCCAGGGTTAGTTCAGGGATGCAGCCACCTGGTGCACATAGGAGTGAACAACTATCTTGTTTGTGGATGTTTGTGGTTTCTTCATTAGTGATTGAAGCTGCAGCTGCGGGGTGCTGCAGGTGTATTGTGTCGCCGGGGATTGGATTCTACCCGCCTTCATCACGTCTGGGCTGCTGATCCACCCACCCTACGGTCCAGGGACATGGGCATGCTACGTTCCCAAGTCGAAGCTCGGACGAAATGACTCACTCCAGCTCACTACCACACGGCATTTGAAAGAAAAAAATGAAAAACAGCGGAAATCCCATGAAATCCCGATGTTGAAAGGTAGAGCCTGGGAGAACCATCTATCAATGACTAATGGCCCAATCCTGTGGATCCATGTCATGCCCCCTTGACCTTCAGTCCTGATTCTTGAGCTATATCACGAAAGGTAGCTCCAGAGGGGCTACCTTGAGTTTTACTTTACGAAGTAAAGGGGAGGGCGGCCAGCCCCGTTACCTGATTCTTCAGGAGATTGCTAGTCATTTTAGTTCCCCCCCCCCTCCACACCTCCCACGCACCCTAAGAGCAGACTCAAAACATTGTAATTTACAGTATTTTTGTTCTTTTCGGATCAAGAAACCACATTTTGCTACATGGTGAAACCTCCGTAAATACCAGTGTTTTTGCTAGGTGCTGGCCAAACAACACTGTAAATACCGTGCTTTTTACTACCAGAGGCAAACAACATCATAAATACCGTGGTTTTGGGCTTCCGACCCGCCAAAAACATCGGTATTTACGGTGTTTTTTGCTCCGAGAGTTGCAAAAACACGCGAAAACACCACCGATTTGACGATTTTCGGCTACTACGGAACCGAGCAAAAACGCTGCAGGGGTAACACCAACAACAACAACACCAACAGCAACAGCAACAACGACGACAACAACAACAACAACACCAACACACAACGCACAATGCACAACGCACAACGCACAATGCACAACGCAAAACGCACAACGCACAACGCACAACATACAACACACAAAACACACAACACACACAACACACACAACACACATAACACACACAACAACACACAACAACACACAACAACACACACACAACCACACACAACAACACACACACACACAACAACACACAACAACACACCACAACACATAACAACACACAACAACACACGCAACACGCAACAACGCAACAACGCAACAACAACACACAACAACACACAACAACACACAACAACACACAACAACACACAACAACACACAACAACACACACAACAACACACAACAACACACAACAACACACACACAACCACACACAACAACACACACACACACAACCACACACAACAACACACCACAACACACAACAACACACAACAACACACAACAACACACAACAACACACAACAACACACAACAACACACAACAACACACAACAACACACAACAACACACAACAACACACAACAACACACAACAACACACAAAAACACACAACAACACACAACAAAACACAACAACACACAACAACACACAACAACACACAACAACACACAACAACACACAACAACACACAACAACACACAACAACACACAACAACCAACAACAACAACAACACCATCAACAGCAGCAGCAGCAACAACAGCAACAGCAACAGCAACAGCAACAACAACAACAACAACACGAACACGAACAATACCAACACCAACAACACGACCAACACCACCAACACCACCAACAAACCCAACCACACCAACAACACTAACAACACTAACAACACTAACAACACCAGAAACACTACCACCACCAACAACACCAACAACACCAACAACACCAATACCAACAACACCAACAACACCAACACCACCAGCACCACCAACACCACCAACACCACAACCACCACCAACCCCAACCACATCGCCGAAGCCTTTCAGTCGCTTTTACCAGACTCCCCTTCATATTTTTGGAAAGAAAATGGCCGCGTCGCTTTTACCAGACTCCACTTTATGTATTTTTCCCTCCCCTCTCCCCTTCATTTTTTCTTCGGTTCCTTTCTTGCTTACCTACCTTTCGTGTTCCCCCTCTCAAGTACGCTTCACGTACGCTTCATATACTGTATGCTTCATATACCCTTCACATACGCTTCATATGCTCTCTGAGGATGAAGGCCTTTGAACATTTCGAACTACATTTGGTGGATCCCTTCCTGTGGCACCATCCCTTGTCACTCAAAGTACACGCAGCTATCCAAACCTTGCATCGATACAAGTTCGCGGTTTGCCCTCAACCTCTGTACAGACTCGAAGCACATCGCTGTTTGTTGGAGGATTGGCTTAGCTATCATCGACATCTTGGAATTGAGCACTGGACGGTATATGATTTGGACGGTTCTGGGCTGGACTTTTTGTCAAATGTGTCAGCGCTTTGCTCGCAGAAGAGATAGTTTCTTTATTTGCCTTTCTAGGATATATAATGATATATATATATATATTATATATAAGAACATAATTTCTGCATGTATGATTGTGTTTGGAAGGGACTTTGAATACCGTTTCTGTCTGTTTCTGTTTTACAGTTTGATGAGGTTTAATGATTAGAACTGCGTCATTTAGCAAAGGCCGAGCATCCCAGTGCGACCAAATTGCTTCGCTTTCCAGCAACCTCCAATGTCCAGCCCTACAGCCCCACTCTGGCCAGCACACGAGGACATTGAGCTTGTCTCGCGGTATCCAGATGTACTTGGCTCACCTCGCTTGGTCCAAGGGAATCAGTGGAACCCGATTTGTCCCCAGTTCTTTGTTCGAGCAGATTTTTCGATTTTTGTCAAACTTGGTATGGGTGCAACCTGTGCAAGTTCTAATGTGTCATTGTTTGCTTGTAGAATGGCATGAATCTGTTTCTAATTGTTGTTTCTGCCCTTTTGGATGACAATGGTGTTAGGGCGTGCCGAAACAGTGACTAGAAATTGGTATTATCATGTATTATTTGTTTTTGATGGATTCTAAATGCAATGCTTCCATAATTCCCTTTCTGTGATCAAGCTAGTCTACCAGACCAGAACATATACTAATTACTCATGGTTGGGTTTCGTTGCTATTGATCAGACCAATAAGCTTGCAGTGTCACGCATGGTCCATGTGCATGAGACGTGGTGAGCACACATTGTTGCTGAGGTTTAGAAGCCATCGCGCTCACACAATGTTTTTGGCGCTACAGGGGACGAGCAGACACTGTCTTCGTGCTGCATTCCTTTGACGAGTTCCTGGTGTCAGCCACTGGGCGGGAAGCGGTTAATGTCAGTTTGATATAGTATGATCAGTTTTTTCACGAGGGCGGTTAAATCAGAATTTTATGTCTTTTGACATCGGCAATGTCTTGACAACGGGCGATCCACGATACTGCTACATTTCGCGGTGGAGTGAATGTGGCAGGTGTTGGACTCTAAACGGTCCTCAGACACTGTGTAGCAGCTTCAGGTCAACCATCAAAAAAATGGGTTGCTGAAGTTCCAGTCTATCATCTCATCTGCTGACAACCTAACCGTCGCTCACCGAATTCCAGCGGTGAATTATGGCGGTGACGCATTGCCCGGCGATGGTGATGCAGCGGGTCTCTGTGGAAAGCCACTGATCCAACGTTTTCCACGCCACACCGGAAAGCTGTATTGGCACATTGTTGCTGCACAGCCTGACTACATTTTATCTGTGAATACGACCAGTGCGTGGCCGCAGCCACCATGGAAGATGGTGGATTTTTTTCATCCCGATCTTCTGCGGCTTAATCATTACATCGATGCGCTGGGAGCACGTGCAAGTCCAGAGGCTTTTAAGCATAAGGATGCTTCAAAAGTCTTGGACTGGGGTGCGAATCTCATCTCCGCAGCTCGTAAGGGAGATTTCAGCATGGTGCCGCTTGGAATTTGCACAGGTTGTTTGTTTTCATCCTTTTTCAAGCAAGTCTTATATTTTTCAGGTGTTTATTCTCGGATGAAGTGTGCTGTTTGCCAATGTTTGAACACAATTTGGCTACTTGCCTGCTGCCTTTCTTTCAGTTGATGACTCATGTAAGACATCTTTAGGCGCAGGGCCAACCACTTTGAACAACTCTTTCCCTGCTGTGAAAGAAAAGGATTGTTGAAGGTATTGACATGGTATTGACGTACTGTAGGTTTTCCAAATTAAAGAACAACTTTCCCCGCTTGACAGGATGATTTCCGCCATGGCCTCCATCCTGGCAGCTGCCCGCGTTCCACACGACGAACTTCGGACGGCGCTCACCTCGCCACGTCGATCGCCGTTGAGTCGCGTCGCCTTCGATCTGGCAGAGCTGGAGGAAGTGCAGCTGGTGAAGGGAGTGTTAGCAGCTGGTGCCCTGGAATGAGAATGGAATGAGAATGGAATGAGAATGGAATGAGAATGGAATGAGAATGGAATGAGAATGACTCAGAATGACTCAGAATGACTCAGAATGACTCAGAATGACTCAGAATGACTCAGAATGACTCAGAATGGAATGAGAATGGAATGAGAATGACTCAGAATGACTCAGAATGACTCAGAATGACTCAGAATGACTCAGAATGACTCAGAATGGAATGAGAATGGAATGAGAATGACTCAGAATGACTCAGAATGACTCAGAATGACTCAGAATGGAATGAGAATGGAATGAGAATGGAATGAGAATGACTCAGAATGACTCAGAATGACTCAGAATGACTCAGAATGACTCAGAATGGCTCAGAATGGCTCAGAATGGCTCAGAATGGCTCAGAATGACTCAGAATGACTCAGAATGACTCAGAATGACTCAGAATGACTCAGAATGACTCAGAATGATTCAGAATGACTCAGAATGACTCAGAATGACTCAGAATGACTCAGAATGACTCAGAATGACTCAGAATGACTCAGAATGACTCAGAATGACTCAGAATGGAATGAGAATGGAATGAGAATGGAATGAGAATGACTCAGAATGACTCAGAATGACTCAGAATGACTCAGAATGACTCAGAATGACTCAGAATGACTCAGAATGACTCAGAATGACTCAGAATGACTCAGAATAACTGGAGGTGGATGGGTTGGTTCATGGTTGATGGTTCATGGTTGGTACAGAATGGTGCGGACATGCTGCATCTACATGCGTGTACTACCTTGAGAAAATTTAAAAAATGAGGGGAAAAATCAACAATTCGATGATTTCGATGGTGTGGGATTTTTGCACCAAAGGTGCTCTTTAGTGCATGGTTGTAGTACTGAGCTTTGTTGCAGGATGCCCAGTGACTATTGACGCATTGATTGAAAACCTGGAAATGGTGCAATTATGATCAATTATGGGCAACTGAGCAGTTTGTGTTAGTCCTTGGATTCCTTTGGCTAGTTGCATTTTGGCCGAAGCATCGGAGATTCCCAGTAGCACCTGACAATCCAAGTTCCGCAGCATTCTCCTAGGTTTCCACAGGGGCGATACCAACTCTGATGGGACACTGTCAAAAGACGAGTTTCAGACGCTGGCTGAGCCACTTGGATGGGATGCCCACCTAAGACGACGGGACTTTCACTACATCGGCTTGTTTCTGCATTTGTGGGCTGCAGAAGATGGTGGCTTGTTCCATCAAATTGATGACAGCAGCTTGGCTGTGGCAATCGTATGCAATCGTACTATCATGTTGTAAGTGCCGGTCTCTCGCACAGAAGAGTTTGACTGCAATGAGACTGCAATGAAACATCCAGTCAACTGGGATCAACTTGGCTTATCCCACATTTCCAGCCCAAATTCCTCCCAAGCCGAGTTTGCCTCACGGAATCTGACATGTTCATCGGTTTTGGGATTTTTGGGCCAACAGCCAGGTCAAGATGATAGGCTCTCAGAAGACGAATGGTCAGAAGGTATGCTTTGGCTTTGTCGGCGGCAGGAGTTGCGTCTCGCCGGGGACCAGTTGCTTCAATGGACCAAAGAGATGGAGAGGAAGCCACGAAAAATAGCGCGGCTTGGGAGCTGTATCATTTTCTACACACGAATCGTACTGCCAAGTACCTGGCCCAGATATGCCCCCATGAATTGGTAGTGTGGAAAAAAGCTGGAATCAAGAGTTCAAAGAGCTTAACTCCCTGATAGCAACATATAGTAACAGTAACTATAGTAACTAGTATATCACATGATCTTTTGCCATCATTTTTTTTCCGTGAAGCACGCGGGCGGCACAGTGACAAATGACTCACGACAAATGAAGGGACGGCATGTGCTTCCTTTCAGCTCGAAAGATTCTATCAGATTATCATTTCAGGAAGGGGTAGCCCGTAGAAGCCCTGTCCTGTCCCTTAGAACTAACTTAGAACCCCCTGTTAGTTGCCAAAGGCCCCTTGTATTCAGATACCATAATTTCATATAAATTCCCAAGATTTGCGCCCGCTTTGTTTCATGCTTGGGGTCTCCCCATGTCTCCCACAGTAAAAACACTGAAGCTTCAGCTTCTCATTCAACATCCAGAGAGACCGCGGGTTGTTTTCCTAGACTTCCACAATAAGGAGTTGCAGTTCTTGTTGCATCGACTACCGGTATTATTGCGCCCAATTGTCAGTGGGAAAAAATGTAGGGAATGCTATGGAACTCATATGGAACTCGTAGGATGCCTTGGTGCCTAGTATACGTAGTCCAAGCAAGTCCAAGCAGTTCATTTTGCAGATGTTGCAGCCGGAAGAGTTGGACCCCAGACTGTGCACCAGGCGTGTGAGCATCACAGCATGCCCATTTCGCGCTCGGAAGCTGAAGTCTGGGATACTCAGATTTGCAAGGTCAGACCGTCCAGCTTCATTGCTATTCTCAAATATTCTCAAGGGTTTTACGTGGTTTCACCATGTTTTACCGCAAGTGGTTGGGCAATCTTGGGTAGATTGTGGATAAGGAATGATAAGGATAAGGACATTATTATAAGAACGTCCTCCTCGTCAGTGTGATCCTTTTGACCTCATCACCCAGGACATTAGTCTATATTGGGGTACGCATGGGTACGCATGTACATAAGTGGGAGGAATACGGCTATCACTGGCCAAGGGCAACAGATGAGGATCATCCAATCTTGCTTCACCCAACCCTTGTCCCAACACCTAATAACTCTTAACGTCCTCCTGCACCGATCAAGTCAGCATCATGGGACTCGATGGGCTCACAGTCCAGTAGTAGAAGCCAATCAGCTCAGGCCATTTTCGCACGGCTGAGCCGCAGCACACCCAGTGGCATGCGCCTGACTTTCAAGGTGGCGGTGTGGCGCTATGTCAGGTGATGACGATGACAATATTCTAAACTGGATTCCAGGTAAGCTGTCCACGAGTTTGCTAGATGTGTTTTCTAAGAACTTTTGTTCTCGGACAATCTTTTCGTTGCAAGCCGACTATGCAAGCCTCAATTCTTCCCCTTGAACCCCACAGGATTTGGAAGCTGAGCACCTGGGCAAAGGATTTTTTTGCGATGTTTGAAGTGTTTGAACTGTAGATCGATGTGCTGTAGAATGCTGTAGATATATTATGATATATGATGTGCTATAGATCGATGTGCTATAGATCGATGTGTGGTCGAAATTTGGTGGTGTTATTGTAATTCTGTGTAATTGGTTAAGTTTTGTGCCGCCCGCCCAGCAGCCTAGCAAGGTGGCAGAGCATTTCAAAGTCTGTGCAACAACACATTAGTGCTGAGAAGGGAGGTTGAACATGTAATGCATAAATATGTTTGACATGTTACAAGAATCAAACAGGGATCTCCAGACTCAATATAGGAACTTGCGACTCCGAGGTTGAGCAGGAATTTGGAGAGCATAGAGGAGCCACCCGACTCTACTCCGACTAAGTGACATGTGAAGTGTGTCAAGTGAGGGGCCCAAAGTCCCTGAAAGCCAAAGCCAATGTTTCATACTTTGTTTTGCAACTTTGAATGCTTTGCCATCCTTCCCTTTGGATGCGCGATGATGGCTCAGTAAAACTTCGACCGCAGGAAGTTGCAAGAGCCAAGGAAATGGTGGTCGTCAGGGGCCTCAGCATTGTGGAGACTTGGATGGCCAGTTGCCGTTTAGGTTGACGCAACATGCCACAGATTCATTCTCTCTACTCTACATTCTCATGTGTTTTCATGTGTTTTCTATTATATATGCAGCTAGCAGTGAACTCACAGCCTCCGTATTGATGAGGATTGACTTGCTTGGCACACTCAGGCAATGAACCATGTCCTTGTCGAGAAGCACGGCAGTAGCACTTTGGCTACCCCAAAGCCTCAAATGAGCCTAAAATTAGACGAGCCGAGGAAACGTATGAAAATACAATCTAGTTAAAGCATGTTAAAGCAAACAGCCCCACCACTATATCTAGCAGCTAGCAATCTAGCGTTTCTGCTAAAATCCTTATCGTTACAGTAATCAAAGACGTTGAAGCTGGGTCGGACCTGGCAAATCCATGTGAATCCTGTAGTTTCTAAGCATATCCAGTACTCCTCTCTCAGTGCTCCCGTCCCTCCCTTTTGCTCTGCACTTCGTCCTTACAACAGATACGAACCATTTCATATCGAGCTAGCTTGGCTTGAGAAGCTGTTTCCATTTATTTCCTAAGTTGACGTCAAAGGCGGACAGGGTTTGAGAACAAGATACGTAGCACATGCCTTTTCACGGCCATTGTGCCAATCAGCGGACGGGTTGACCTATCATTCCAGATATTCATATCATTCCAGACATTTCCAATCATTTCCAGACATGGGTCATATCGAGCTCTGCTTGTTGATGTCCTTCCACGCCGAGGTTTGGAAGCCACCCTCGAGCAGTATGGTCGGAAGCCTGGGTTTAGTTCCAGAGATTTGTTGTTTCCGAAGGTTCAAACTTAGAAGATGCTGTCAGCAAGGCAATGTGGATAGTGGTTTGGTATGGTTTGGTCACTTTTTTCATTACCCATCCCCATAGACGCAATAAAAAATATATAACACGGTATATATAGGAAATGCCACAGCATATCACAGCAACCAGTGCATTGATTAGAAAGGGGCATATCACTGCATTTGACCTGCGCTGCCACCATAGCATTCAGGACAGGAGTTTGTGCCACAAAGCGAGCTGCGGAAGGCACACGAAACATTATGCTGCACAGATTTCCTGCGTTGCTGGATGGTTTTCGTTTTTGAAGATTTTGGCATGCCCAAAAACATTCCGTAAATATGTAAAGCCATTCTTTTGCAATGGTCGGCACATTGGCGTTGCCCATATGGTCAATTGACACAGTGGCATGGAAAACGCTTTGTCCAAGCCCATCAGCTCGCTATCCGGCATGAGATGATTGACTTGCTTGCTGAAATTTGCTGAGTGCATTTCCAAATTTCTGGGTCTTGAGTCATTTTTTAGTCGGATCCCCGACGGCAGGTCTTCTCCATCTCGCGTGCCCTGAGTGATGCGCAATGGGCGGCCCTGCTGCCTCGACCTCAGCAGCCGTAGGGTTCTCCGAAGCCAAGGCTGGAGCTGTGCACGGCTGTTGTGGCTGAGGCCCTTCCTACACAAGCGCCCTGATGGGCAGATTTTATGGCTGAGCCCTCAAGTCGGCTATGATTTGGGACTCAAGAAGGCAATGATCCACCAAGAGGACGTGAATGCTGTGCAAAAATACCTCACCGTGTGATTTGGGTCAAGGTGGCAATACGTGGCAGTATTGCAGGCAGTCAGATAGCCGACAGCATTCCCCAGAGAGCCATGCAAGGCATGCATTATGACAAGCCAATTGAGGCAGTCTGTGTTGGCGTGGGCCGGCTTGGCCAGGTCGGGTGTGGCTGGAGGGGTGTCATGGATTTGAGCTCTGTGTGAGGGTTGATGGGGCTTGGGCACCGAGTCTGGCGTGCGTCTTCAAAATAGCCTGTCACTTTGAAAATCTGTTCGCTGGCTGTTGTTTTCATATGTTTTCATCATATGTTCAGTTATGTCGGTTATGTCATGTATATGTCATGTTAATCATGTTATGTCGGGCATATTCGGACATCTTGGTACCCTGAGACCGTGGCACAGGAGTCCCGTGGCTCCAGCTTCAAGCCCGGCGGTCGTGGCTGCTCAGGCAAAACGATGGGACAGATTTGAGTTGGACCATGCACATCCATGCACGCGTAATCCGTTGCTATTCCGGCGCCATGTGTCCCCGCAGTATCCCGCAGTCAAGTTGTCATGCTTGATATGCTTGAGTTATTTGCGATACTTGAGATCCCAAAGTGACAGTCTCTTGCTTTCAGCCGGTGGGTTGCATGCAACACTAAACCATAACCATTCGATTGTTGAAAGAGGTCGCTTGGGGCCACAATGCCACAGCGTACTGCGCCAGGCACCGATTCCGGCGGTTCCTGTTCGTCCGACCGTCCATGGTCCTAGTTGGGGAGATGGTCGGAGTGACAGTGAAAGCGTTAAAGCTTGACAATTGAGGTGGTGCCAGGTTGGCACCACCAACTGGAACATGTTGATAGGGCATGAGAACCACAAGGGCTTCACTCATCTTCACTAGTGTACCCAGGCCCACGTCCCAGGAATAAACATTCATATCATTCTATGATGGTGTTGTATGGTGTTGTTTGACAGATCGAAGGCAGATGAATGGAGGTCCCTGCTTTGCCAGTTTCTTTTAGCTGTCGGCCCCAGGTTTCGACCCCCGCCCTACAGCCACAGCAAGCAGCACCAGCACCAGTTGCTGCACCGGTCCCTGCGCAGCCAGTGCCTGCCCAGCCGGCTCCAGTGCCGACTGCGGCACCAGCGGTTCCAGCTGTTCCAGCGGTTCCGGCAGTTCCGGCAGTTCCAGCGACTGTTCCGGCGATTCCAACAGTTCCGGCTGTGGCTGCTGTTCCTGCTCCGGCGGTGCCTTTGCAGGAAACCCAGGAATCTTTTGAGGCAGTGAGCCAGAATTTTTTCAAGAGAATTGTTTCAGAATTTATCGTTTTCTTAGTTGTCTTCGATCTTCATGTCAAATGTTAAGCAGACGCACCTGACCTAGCATACCTAGCAATTAGGTAGGGGGGTCCTTTGTTGCACATGACACGGGGCTGAGGCAAAAGGCTCCGGCACTTCCGGTCGCTTGGCGCTATGACTAGAACAAATGGATCTTCAAGCATGCGGCCATATCAAGCGATCAAGATAGGAATCATGGCCCTGTGTTTGTTGATTGATGTGCCCGAGGAGATGTAAAATATTGTCAAACCATATCAAACTAATTCAAATCATATTGCTGTCCTGAACGCTTGTTTTGTCTGGTCATGTCAAGATCAAGAGCTTCGGCTGGGGACCCCAAAGCAATCCGACATTTTTTGGACAACTTCTTTATCTCATATTATATTATTTGATCTCATTTGTCCATCTAGCTCGAAAACATGCTCCTGATAAGGAGAACTTATGACAATCACGAGCAATGGGTCACTTCCTTTCCCAATAAACTTTCTCATTGAAGGGACCCTTATATCCTGTGGTTGTGCCATCCTCCTTTTCCGATGTCTTTCGCTGGCAAGAGCCGTCATCAAAGGGAGTGCAATATAACACCACCACCAAACACACTTACACTCGCAGAGCATCCGTTGATCCAAATCATTAGTTATCTTAATTGAAGTGGTCAACGGCATCTAGGGCCCCCAAATCGGCTCAGGCAACCAATCCAGCGCCGACCTTTGCCTCAAAGAGCAGTTGCCTCAAGGGTTCTGTCTTTTCTGTGGTATTTGGATGTATTTGGGGGTTCTGGTTGGAGCGGATCGTTGTTGGTGTCTCCGACTTTTAACATTTGACACATCTTGACATCCTGGACATTATCATTCCTGGACCTCCTTTGTGTTGGCAGATCCAATCTAGTAGAAGCTGATACTGCGGTCCTTTCAGAAGTGAGATGCATGTAATCACAGCAGAGTCACCAGAATCTTCGGTGGGCTCGAAATTGCTGCCTTGTGTCCTCCTCCATCCTCACTATCATTATTGTCATCATGAATGTGTCGCCATCAACCATCGTCTTTGTTGTGTTCGTTTTCAGATGTCGCAAACCATCATTCAACAGCCCCTTGGTGATCCTTGGTAAGCAGGTGCTCCACAGCCTCCTGCGCAGGAGCTCATGGGAAGGGGGATGAAGGGGGTGTTGCCAGCCGGCATCGGCCGACTATGGCTGTGACTGTGACACGTAATTGAGTGGAATCAAAGGATATATATATATTTATTTATTTATTTATAAATGCTGAATGATATGAAGGACACATAGCTCACTCATAGTGGCATAGTATTGTAGTGGTGCATAGTTCCCAAGCCTCTTTGGCGCGGCGTTGAAGCTAATGCCCGCAGACGGAGAGATACAGGCTACTTCATAGCAAAAAGCGGAACATCGTCAGACATGTGGACAGCAGTTCATGGATGAGAAAGTGATTTGCAGGACTGCACTATAGCTGGAGGGAGTGGGATGGTCCTGTGCAGAATTCTGGTTCCTTCAAGTTTCTTGCGGCTTCCAGAGATGCCCTCAAACCCTGTGTTAAAATTAATTAATATTTGGAAGTTTGGAAGGGTCACCCAACCTTCCACCATAGCAGTAATTAATAGTAATTAGCCATTCTGCATCATTCTGCGCATTTCATGCGGCACTTGGTATGCATGCAGGCGACTTCACATTCTGCGTCGATTCCGCCGCCCAGGCAGCAGGGTAGGCATCGGTGAGTTCGGAGGGCATGACCTAATTGAACTTGATGTCGTACGTGTGGTGAGCCAATCTAGATGTTGAGAACATTTCAAAAATCAGAGAGAGAGAGAGAGAGAGAGAAAATGTTCCAACAGCGCTCTCAGCAGTCAGTAATCATCTGACACTGGGGTTGAGCTGAAGCGACTTTATCCCACTGCCGCGCAGTGAAATGTTGATCTTGACTTAGCCCAAACGGAGTTAGGCGCACAGCTACTTTTCGGGCGGTTTGTTTGCACGCTGGAGTAAACTTACCAGAAATACCAAAGGGTTGCGCAGGGTTTGTTTGTGTCTCTCTCTCCTCAGCTGTCAGCTGTGTCAGTCTCACGCCAAACATTGGTGCCTCAACATCAACACCAGCTGCACCTGCACAGGCGCCGGAGGACAGGTTTGTTTGTAGTTGGCCTCACTTGCATAGAGTCTTGGTTTGAGCATCGAGCATGCCTTTCCCACAAAACCAAATGGGCTAAGTGGGAGCCCCCCATGAGACGCCTTTGCGCTTAACATGGGCTTGTGTTGAAGCATTGGCACGGTTTCCAGTTGATGAACGGGCTGTTTGACCCATTGGAGCAGGTGCCATTGAGGGCAGCCAGCGGAGCACTTAGCACTGAAGATGATAAGATATATAAGATGATAAGCAATGATAAGCCAATATATAAAATTGTTTTAATGATACTGATGCTCCTTCAAAAGGTGCATTGCAGAAAACAAGGTGCATACTCAGCCAGCAGGTTTGATCTTGCGAACACATGCACCTAGACTTTCAGACAGATGGCTGATGGCCTGAGGCACTCCTGCAGTGCCAGCTGTGCCCAGTGGACCAGCAAGCCCGCCACCGGGCCCTGCCGCACCACCAGTACCCGTTATTAGCAAGTCCATGAGCGCAGTGCCAGTGGGAAGCCCACCCACTCCTGCCATACCACCACCTGGACCTGCAAGTCCACCAGTTCCTGTGATCAGCAAATCCACCAGTGCACCACCAGGTTCACTAGGTGTGCCGCTTGGACCATCCTCGCCACCACCAGGGGCACCACTTGGTCAACCACCTTTGGCTCAACCACCAGCCCGACCTGCACTGCCAACGGCTCTGCCAGCCGCACTGCCAGCAGCAGCACCCAAAGGCGCACCACTAGCACAACCACCAACGGCACCAAGTGCACCAGATGCTGGTCCACCAAGACCAAGAGGTCCACCACTTGGACAACCACCTTTAGCACAACCACCAGCTCAACCAACACTTCCAAGCAGCCCACCAGGACCTTCTGGCCCACCACCTGGCCCTGCGGCTCCACCAGGACCCACTGGCTCGCCACCAGGTCCCAATCGACCACCAGGCCCAGCAGGCCCACCACCAGGACCTGCAGCCAGACCGTCAGCTTTGCCAGCAGCACCAGGTGGTCCATCGCGACCGCCACTGTCCCAACCACCACTATCCCAGCCACCACTATCCCAGACCCCGCTGTCCCAACCACCTTCTGGTACATCAGGACCACCACCAGGTCCAGCCAGCCGGCCTCCAGGGCCACCACTATCCCAGCCACCGCCAGGACCAGCTGGGCCTCCGCCAGGTCCCAACAAACCACCCGGACCTATGGGACCACCACCTGGACCAACTGGATCACCTCCAGCTGCTTTGCCCAAACCGGCGGCACTTCCGTCAACTCCTGCGGCGTTGCCTTCCAAACCCTCAGCCCTTCCTTCAACACCCGCAGCTCTGCCAACTACACCTTCGGCGCTCCCCAGGGCAGCCGCGTCACCTACAGGATCTCCTTCACATGTATCTGCCAGTGCTTCACCTTCAGGTCCTGCTGGGCCACCGCCTGCAGCATGTCCAACACAGGTGTCAACAAGCTCTTCACCCTCCCATGTATCAACCAGCTTTTCCTCCACACCTTTAGGGCCACCCCCAGGCCCAGCAGGGCCACCACCTGGTCCAATGGGACCACCACCTGGTCCAACTGGACCTCCACCTGGTCCAATGGGACCACCACCAGGGCCGACTCAGGCAGGATCACTGATCGATTCATTGGTGCAAATTTGGAATCAAATTGGAACAAATACGTCAGCCAATGCTGTCTGAGCGTCTTTCATATTTCCATGCAGTCCATGAATTAGGGATGCTTTACGATAGGGACTCTATTGTCTATTTTGATAATATTTTGATGAAGTTTTATCGGCCAGTCCAGCTATGAGGCGCTGGATTTGTTTGATGTACCTCAAGATTCAGGGCACGATTGATAGTTTTTTTTCTCACCTTCATGATTCATGATCTTTCAATTGCAGACTTACTGTATGACAGTGTCAGACTTACGAAAAATTGCACAAGGCAGGGGGTGTTGACCCATCCTTCTTATTCATCGTGCAACGGGTGAGTCAAACATTGATGCACCAACCTGTCCACCAGTGACATGCAGATGCACCAGGTGGATTCAAAGATGGATGCGGCTGCACGGAGGAAAGCGGAGATGGACGCGAAAATGGCGGCCAGACACAAGGAGGTGGAGGGCTCAATACAAAACGCCCTGCATAGCTTCGCCCAATTACAGATCAATTGGAGGGCGAAACTGTTGTGCTGTGGGCTGTGGGTGTCATTCCAAGGCAGAGGAGAAGCGAGCGCAGGCCAAAGCCAGGGCCGCAGCCAGGGAGCCTCAGAAAGTCTCCCTTCTATCATGGCCGTTGATGTTTTTAAAGGTGTTTAAGCATTAAACCGTTAAACTGTGAAACTTTAACCTTGATATTTTTCTTTCCCTCCATGTTCCATGTTGTCTCAAGAAATGCGAGTCCCATAACATATTGTCCTTCTGCATGGAAGAGATTTCATAGGCATATATGGCACATGGCACCCAACAGTGTTTGAGATATTACGGAGGGCATTCATCGCGACCTTACCCGAAAGATCATGAACTCAGCTGAACTAGCGCCGATCACAGCATGGGCTCAGCATTCTTTGTCAAGCTGGTGCCCAAGGCTCTCAAAGCTGTACAGGAGGGTGACACCTGACCCAGAAATGATCATGGAGGCCGGAGTTACTTTAACACGGGAGTTTATGGAACCGACATTGATAAAATGAAAAAACGGAGGATGATTGAACGCGGAATCAGAAAGAAATAAAGAATCGTGCAGAACAATTCTTTGTCATAGGTTACTGTAGCGGTGGTAGCCCAAGTTTGTGGGCGAACTTTTGCATACTCGTGCAAATACTCCTGCCACATCTTGGAAAAGAGGCTATAATTACCACCTACAGTAAATTATTCTTGGAGGGTATCTAAGGGTACTAAAAGGATCTAAAAGGGATAGATCCACGGCCAGTATCAATGAAGCTAATGAAGGGGGTTGTTGAATTGTCTAAGAGAGTGTGGATCATGAGATGTCAGGACTCATGACACCAAGTCCCAAGTTTGAGAAAAAGCAAGCTGTTGCTCAATTTGAAGAAAACATATTGAAAAAACATGAAACAACAGACAACATGTTTGGAAAAATGCCCACAAATTTGTGGGGGTATGCGTGAGGCGTGCATATATATATATATCATATTATATCATTATATCATATCATATATAATTATATATATATATATCGCCGGACGCATGGTTAGAACCTGTGGAAATTTTCCAAAACGCTCGGGTATGAAAATTTTTGCGCACTTAGAACCTCTTGGGTTCTAAGCCCCCGTCCCCGGGTTTTAAGATGCATATGTAATTTCTGTGTTCCATAGTGTTGTGGTTCAAGTTTGGTATATGGGAGACTGCCCCCATTGCCACGTGTTTTCGGGTGTGCCCACTTGCCCGTGCTGTAAGACGTTCTTCCGCATTGGGACGGTCCTCCAGTCGGGCAAGCTCAGCGCGTTCCAAGAGTCCACGGTCTTGGTGATCCTTCGCAATTGCGCTGGGGCGATCTCGGACGTGGCTGAGGGCGAGGTCAGTGGGCCATTCGGGGCAGTCATCCCTGGGGTTGGCCGGGAAAAGAGTGAGGAGATCGGAAGGTCACCCTTGAAGGAAAAAGCTCCTGAGAAGAAGGAAGAGGCATCGAAAGAGAAGGGCGAGAAAGAGACAGACCAGAAAGCAACCAAAGCTCCCGAAGGTAAGAAGGCCAAGAAAAGCAAAAAGGATAAAACAAGAACTTCCCGTAAAGAAAAGAACGCTAAGAGGAAGAGCCGAAGTAGATCGACGAAGAGGAGAAGCCCTGAGATCGGGGAAAGGAAGGAAGAGAAGCGGGGGTCAGCCCTGGAATCTAGAGGAAGCACAGAAGCTCACACAGAAGGAAGAAAGTCTCAAAGCCCAAGGAGTAGCAGAGGCAACGACCCCCCTCCTAGGCGGGAGGATCGTACACAGGAGGACGTAGACAAAGAGGTTAGAAGAGACCCTGCTCGTTTCGGCTTGGGACACGTTCCCATCCGTGGATCGGCAGGAGGACAAGTCAGGGGCCCACTTATCCCTGGCAGGAACCAACGGCCTGCAGAGCCAGCTGAAAACCCCCGGCCCCGACGGGACGGAGGTGAGTACCAGCGTTACGACAACCAAGGGTACGGGGCGAGGGGCCCTGGAAGAGCCGCACCAAGGTGGAAGGGCTACAACCACGTGCAGAGAGGGATTGACTACTGGAAGAGGCGCAAGTCTCACTGGTAGAGATGGCGCCAAAGGCAAAAGCGAAGGGTTTGGCTGCAAAGGCCAAGCCCAAGGCAAAGGCCAAAGCGAAAGCACATATGAGAGGAGCAAGAGCCAAAGCCAAGGCAGGAGCGAGGATAGGAGGGCTGGCGCGGGGACGAAGAGCCCTGAGACGGCCAGCAGCAGACGAGGCCGGGGAGAGACCTGGCCGGGATCACAGGACCCTTTGGGGGGCAGGACATACCTTGAGGGCCGCAGAGATAGGCTTGGAGTGGCCTTTGAAGGAGAAGGGTGTGGTCTTCGAGGAGGCCAAATACTTTCACCGGGAGTGCAAGGTGGCAGGGGTAGCCCTGGGTGCCCTGGTGTCGGAGGGTCAGGTGGCCTTGAGGATCCGGCCCAGTGGCACGACAGACGAGGGTCTGTTGAAAGTCCAGTCGGGGACCCCGCACTTGGAACTGAGAGTTCTGTTGCGCGCCGCCGATTGCACGCACGAAGTAGTAGGAGAGGATTTGGTCCATGGGATACGGCTCAGGAAGCGGCGCGAGGTGGAAGCCGAAGAAGCGTGGGTCGACAATCTCATGAAGGTGGCGCCCACCGAGCAGGTCGACGAGTTGGAGGTTTTGAGGAGGGAGATGGAACGGCAGGGGCAAGTCGCTCCAATGAAAGAGAAGGTCAAAGACAAAGAAAAGAAGGACAAGAAAACCCACAAAGACCGAGTAAAAGACCGAAAAGAGAAGAAGGAGAAGGAGAAGGTGAAAGCCAAGCGGAGGAAATCCACAAGTCCGGGTACGTCCTCGGGGGATATAGCCCTGGATGGGAGTCGTGCCAAGGCTGCAGCCCAGAAGACCCCAAAGAAGCTCTATCAGGGGACGGGCATGGACCCCTCAGACAGGGCCCGCAGCAGGGTCATCAGATTGGCCAGAAAATATGTCAAGAGAAAAGGTCGGAAAAGTTCGTCTGGATCGCAGAGCTCGTCCGGAAGTTCACAAGGAGGGAACGTCGAGGAAGAGGGCGACACGATCTTCCAGCAAGCTGCCCGGGTGAAAGGAGTAGCGGAATCGTTCCCCGGAGTTCTAGCGTTCCAGGGGTTGAGCCAGATGAGATCGAACTTGCTCCAATCCCTAGGAGAGGAGGAAAAGAGTTCGTCGACGCAGGCTGTGGCAGTCCAGTACTTCCGGCAAGTCTTGCAGCGCAAGGCGACGGGTGCCGTAGCTCGAGAACTCTTGAGCCTATGCGCCGCGGCGGACTTCCTAGTGAGATCCCGCCCTGCTCAGGCGCTGGATCTTCTGATCCAGCGCATCAAGAGGCAGAGTCCACCCTAGGTGGAACTCATTGGACGGTGAGCCAGAGGTTGGAACTACTGCCGGCCGAGCAGGCCACCTTGACGGCCACGGCAGAGATGAGAGAAGCCCAAAGGATAGCCGTGGAGGAGTCGAAGGCAAGATGGCTGAGTTCTCTCCCAGACGGAAGGCCCCAGACAAGTCAAAAGGGGGGCGGAAAAGGGAAGAACCCTGGCAAGGAGGATGGTCGCAAAGGGGGCGACACTCGCAAGGGAGGAAAGGCCTCAGGAGGCAAAGGAGATTGGAAGAGAAGAGAGGATGCCGGAGGAGCAAAGACCGGTTGAGAAGCCGAGCAGAGGCAGAGCATGAGGAGGCGGGGGCAGGGTCCCCTGGTCAGAATTCAATAACGGGGACGAAGATCCCTGAGCAAAAGCCAGCAACTTTGGAAGGCGACCGAACTGTTGAAAGACCGTATGAAGAGGGGTCGGCACAGGCCCTCTCGGTTGAAGAGATGCCGAAGTCTTCCAGCCAGGGTCAATATGCTGGCCTTGATCCGTATCAGGCCCTGTTGCAATCAATGCTTGTGGCAGCCCCGCCTTTTGAAGAGGCAGCTGGGCCAAATGGCCTACAGCAGAGCCTGGTCGCTGAGGACGAGAGGTTCGATTGCGACCGCCGTGGGGTGAAAAAATGTTTTCGGCAGCTTTCATGGGATGGTTGTTTTCTTCGTGATTGTGGTAGGTTCTTGTTTGAGGAGCTCCTGGGGGTTTTACCGCTCCGCAGCCAGAACATGGGTAGGCGGGATTCTTCTGGAATTTTCCCCTTACCTACCTCTAGGAGTTTGCTCTCTGGTTTTTTACCTGATTTGAGTGAAGCGGAATGGTCATGGTTGTCGTGCGTTGTAATTTCATTGAATTCGCTTTGGGGTGATATGGTGGTAAATGAGGCCTCGTTGAATGAAGGGCAACAGGCCTGCTTGAGAGAGATCTGCAAAGATGTCAAGCGTTTTGTTGGGGTCGGGGTGATCATCCCTGAGTTAGACTGGGCTGACCTGTTTTCAGTCCGTGCCATCGACTACAAAGGTGACGAAGTGAAAGTGGCCAAGTGGTTCTCTTGGAAAAATGTTGAGCCAGCATTGCCTGGCGACGTAGGGAGTGTTCCCCTTGAAGCTGTTTGCAGCCGGGGGTGTAGGGACTACGTCCTTAACTTTGACCTCTACTTGAAACCTAGGAACCAATGGGTCGTATCTAAGGCGCCTAGAGTCATGGTTCATGATGATGCATGGGCAGACGTCTGCCGCGGGCTAGTGTCCAGAGGGGTGTGCGAGTTCATTTTGGAAGAGGATGTTTTTATGACTGATTCAGGGCCGCTGCTCAACGGAATGTTTGGGGTAGCCAAGGATGAGACCACCTCCGAGGGCGTGGACATCTATCGGTTGATAATGAACCTTATTCCGCTGAATGGGCTGTGCAAGCCCTTGTCTGGTGACATTGACACCCTGCCCGCTTGGAGCGCGATGAGTCCCTTCTTCCTGCAGCCCAATGAACGCTTGCTTGTTAGCAGCGAAGATGTCAAATGCTTCTTTTACACGATGAGTGTTCCTCTTTGCTGGCGAAAGTTTCTTGCTTTCAACAAGCTCGTCCCTGAGGCTGTGTTGCCGGGGCATTTACAGGGCTGTAGGGTGTACCTGTCTAGCTGTGTGCTGCCTATGGGATTTCTGAACAGCGTCAGCCTAGCGCAGCACGTTCACCGCAACCTGGTCAAGTGGAGTGCTTTGGAGGCTGCGACAGACAGCGAGGGGGCCAACAACCCGGAGAGTGAGTTGAGAAAGGACCAGGGGTTCACCTGTCACAATCCTTCCTGGCGAGTGTACTTGGATAACTACGATCTTCTCGAGAAAGTATCCCGGTGCGAGGTGAATGACCTTGAAGGTAGTTGCTCCCAGGGTATCCTCTCCCTCCGGAATGAGTACGAGAAGTGGGCGGTCCCAAGGAACTTGAAGAAGGCCGTGCAGAGGTCGTCTCTGTGTGAGCTACAGGGTGCCACGGTTGACGGAGACATCGGGGTAGCCTACCCTCGAGAACAGAAGCTGGCCAAGTACTTTGGGTTAGCGGTTCGTCTCTGCCAGCAGCCTCGTGCCACTCAACGTCAGTGGCAAGTGGTATGTGGAGGGCTGGTCTACTTTAGTATGTTCAGACGGCCGTTGCTGGGGGCTTTAAACCAGGTTTGGCGCCATATCCTTGACTTTGACCGGAAGCGCAAGGTGACCTTGCCCACCCCTGATGATTGTCGTTTGGAAATCTACCGTTTCTTGGGAATGCTGCCGCTAGCACGGCTTGATTTCAGGCTGGACGTGCACCCGATGGTTACCTGCAGCGACGCCTCCAGCGCGGGCGGTGGCATCTGCGCAACTACCTCTCTTACTTCGGTCGGGGGCATGGTGGCAGAAGGAGCATTGCGGGGTGAAATCCCTGAGCAGGCAGGCGACATGGCGGTCCTCTCAGTGGGACTTTTTGATGGGATCGGGGCCCTTAGGGTCGCCCTGGAAACCATCGGGGTGCGAGTCTTGGGGCATATCTCGGTCGAGTGCAACTCATCAGCTCAACGTGTGGTGGAGTCGCACTATCCCGGAGTCGAAGTGGTGAACTCTGTGGGTGACATCGACCAGGACATGGTGGACCGGTGGGCCTGTCGCTATTCGCAATGTTCCCTGGTAATCATCGGGGCTGGACCTCCGTGCCAGGGTGTTTCGGGGTTGAACCCTGATCGTCGGGGAGCACTTAAAGATGAACGTTCCAAGCTTTTCAGTGAGGTACCGCGTGTGAGGGAGATGGTGAGAAAGGCGTTCCGCTGGTGTCCAGTTCACACTTTGATGGAGTCCGTGGGTTCCATGGATGCTCAGGACCGCGGGATCATGAGCCGTGGATATGGTGGAGAGCCTATATTATGTGACGCAGGCACTTTCACCTGGTGCCACCGCCCCAGGCTTTATTGGCTGAGTTGGGAAATCAAAGCGGGTCCCGGGGTGGTTTTGGACCAATCTGGGGAAATCACCGTGCTCTCGCTATCAGGGAACCAGCCCCTGGAAGAAGTGGTGCGTGCGGGATGGCACAAGGTGGACTGCAGCCAAGCTTTCCCTACATTCACTACCAGCCGGCCTCGTGATCGGCCTGGTCGGAAACCTGCCGGGGTGCAACAATGTAGCCTTGAGGAGCTCGAGAGGTGGCACCTAGATCGTTTTAGGTTCCCACCATACCAGTATCGGAACTCCCACTGCCTTGTCAACGGAGCCGGGGTCTATCGAGTCCCTGACGTCTCTGAGAGGGAGCTCATGCTAGGATTCCCCTTGCACTACACGGCCTCTTGTTGTAACAAATCGGAGCGCAAGAAATCCACCTTTGACGACACCCGTCTGAGTCTCCTGGGAAACACGTGGTCAGTACCGGTCGTCGCAGTGCTCCTGTCTCATCTGTTTTCGTGGTTGGGCTGGATTGAATCACTATGTCCTCAGGACGTGCTGGACGCCTGTCGGTCGGGGACTCATCGGATGGTCCAAGGACGTCTGAGTAGATTACCCCTGAACCCGACACGGAGTCTGTCTGCCGTGGACCCCTACACCTTGGCGTTCAAATTGAGCAACTTGGTATCAATCAAGGGGGAAGATATATTGCTTTCAACCCCTACCTCGCAGCTGGCACGCTTTCAGAGGCTGAGGGCTAGCATCCCTTCTAAGCTATGGAAATGGAAAATTGTCACAGGATGGCGGTGGAAGCACGGGAAAGAACATATCAATCAACTTGAATTGCGGGCAATTTTGACCACCCTCAAGTGGAGATTGGAGAAGCAGAAGCAGACAGGTTGCAGAATGATCCACTTGACAGATAGTTTGGTGTGCCTCCATACTTTGTCAAGAGGTCGCAGTAGCTCTCGGAAACTTCGTAGAATAATGGCGCGGGTGAACGCCCTGGTCCTGGCGGGGAATATCCAAGCGGTGTGGTCCTATGTCCACACTGATGATAATCCCGCTGACCGGCCCTCTCGTTGGGGGCAGCGGGTGAAGACCAAATTCCGCAATGTCGCGAAAACGGGTCATTGAGGCATCCCTACCGCAGGACCGGGCCGCCCAACGCCGTAAACTAGGAAGTTTGAGAGAGCTTACTGTACAACCAGCAACCAAACGTCGCTACGCTACCGCTGTAGATGGCTTCTTTACCTACCTCCGAAATGCGGGGCTTAGTCTCCCTTCGAAGAAGATGGCACTTGATCACCTTCTTTGTGACGATGTTGAATTTTTATGGAGCAATGGGGCTGGACGCGGGTTGGCCAATGACACTATTGCAGGCCTTCAAGATCGACAGCCTGACCTACGGCATCATTTACCTGGAGCGTGGAGGTTGTTGAAAACATGGTCCATTAATGAAGTACCTGCCCGCGCACCCCCGTTCCCTGATCACGTGGTCAAGGCCATGTCGGGGTGGGCCTTTTTTAAAGGCTACTACTCATTTGGTCTCTCCCTCCTCATTGGGTTTTATGCCATGCTCCGTACTGGTGAAGTTCTTTCTCTTCGATCTTCTAGTCTGATGTGCCAAGGGAAAAGTACACCAGTAGTCATTAGCCTAGGTATGACCAAAGGGGGCAAACGCCAAGGTGCGGCTGAAAGCGTCATCCTTGGTTATGAACCTGTTGTTCGTTTGATTCAACAATGGAAGAAGGTTGCCTGCCCCGCAACCCCTCTTGTGAAATCCGCCGCTCAGTGGCGCAAGTTGTTCAATGAATGTTTGGAATCATTGGAACTCCTGGACTCAAAGTTCAGACCGTATTCTCTCCGTAGAGGAGGGGCGACTTATTGGTTCTCACAACACCAGTCTCTTGATCGATTGTTGATTTCAGGCCGATGGGCCTCGGCCAAGACAGCCCGTATTTATATCAATGAGGGGCTCGCCATGTTGACCACCATGCATTTGCCGCCATCACACCCTAAGGTGAAACCTTTTATTGGTGTTTTTATTCAAACTTGCCAGAATTTGAATTTTTCAACACTTGAGCCTCCAGCTCTCACTGGAAGGGCAGGGGGACGTGGTAGGAAGAAGAGACCCAGAACCATGAAGCCGAAAAAAGGCCCCTTTTTTTTTGCCTGCTGGAAGTCAAATTTCTCAATTTCTCAGTTTCCGTTCATCGGAACATCACCAACAAAAACTCAGTACCCAGAAGCCTGAGGTTTGGCTTGGCATTTTGGGTAGGGTTCAAAGGTTTTCTGCTCTTGTGTCAGGGGTTTGGCCCGACCAGAGCTTGCTGACGAGGGGAATCGTCTGGTGACGTGTTCGATTTCTATTTGGTTTGTTTTTTAATATTGACTAAACAGCTGCGGAGTGGAACAAAAGAAGCAGATGCATCTTTAGACCCCCGTCCCCGGGTTTTAAGATGCATATGTAATTTCTGTGTTCCATAGTGTTGTGGTTCAAGTCCCAAACCCTTCCCTCCCGAGGCTTGTCCTTGATAGGGGGGTAGGAAGAAGAGACCCAGAACCATGAAGCCGAAAAAAGGCCCTTTTTTTTTTGCCTGCTGGAAGTCAAATTTCTCAATTTCTCAGTTTCCGTTCATCGGAACATCACCAACAAAAACTCGGTACCCAGAAGCCTGAGGTTTGGCTTGGCATTTTGGGTAGGGTTCAAAGGTTTTCTGCTCTTGTGTCAGGGGTTTGGCCCGACCAGAGCTTGCTGACGAGGGGAATCGTCTGGTGATGTGTTCGATTTCTATTTGGTTTGTTTTTTAATATTGACTAAACAGCTGCGGAGTGGAACAAAAGAAGCAGATGCATCTTTATATATATATATATCATTATATCATATCATATATAATTATATATATATATATCGCCGGACGCATGGTTAGAACCTGTGGAAATTTTCCAAAACGCTCGGGTATGAAAATTTTTGCGCACTTAGAACCTCTTGGGTTCTAAGTGCGAGTCCGGAGGTTCTAAGTGTGAGTCCGGTTTTATTTTGGCGAGGTTCTAAGTGCGAAGTCCCCCAACCATTTGCCTCATCCCCTATCATTCCTATAACCAGGGTAAAAATAGATAACATAATATGTTCAACATAATTATGATCAGAAAACACACTAGAATCGATATAATGTGAAACGAATCGTATTTTTTTCTGCTAGGCGGAGCAGCTGTCACTATTTAAAAAACCCTTGGTGGTCTTAGCCACCTAGCCATCCCACCCAAAGGCAAAATCCATCACCACTAGTCGGCTGGTGCACCTAGAACACAAAGCCACGGTCACAAACATATAACCCTTGTCAAGGAACATGTTGGCACTCCAATCTGGGCATACTCGATCAGTGTAGGTTGCGATTTAGGAGGCTCTTAATGTGAAAGTCCGCATCTATCTGCCTGGTTCCCTGCCATCCCGTGCACATATGCAACATCTAATCTGATATATCTGATCTATAAAAACCCTGACGAAGAAACATATTGGCACACCAACCTGGAAAGATTCTATCAGCGTAGGTTGTGATTCAAGAGGTTCTAAGTGCGAAAGTCCCCACCTATCTGCATGGTTCTGCATGGTTCCCTGCCATCCCGTGCACATAGGCAACATACCTAATCTGATCTTTAAGAACCTTATATATCAAGAAACATGGTGGCACTCCAATTCTATGCGTAGGTTGGATTTAGGAGGTTCTACGTGCGAAAGTCCCCACCTATCTGCATGGTTCTGCATGGTTCCCTGCCATCCCGTGCACATAGGCAACATACCTAAATTGATCTATAAAAACGTTATCTATCTGCAAGGTTCTGCATTGTTCCCTGCCACCCCGTGCACATGGGCAACATCTAATCTGATCTATAAGCCCCTTTTGAAGAAACATGTTGGCACACCAACCTGGGAAGATGTTAATTCAAGTGTAGGTTGTGATTTAGGAGGTTCTAAGTGCGAAAGTCCCCACCTATCTGCATGGTTCCCTGCCATCCCGTGCGCACCGGCAACATATCTCATCTGATCTATAATCCTTACCAAGAAACATGTTGGCGCTCCAATCTGGGAAGATCTTAATTCTACCAGAGTAGGTTGTGATTTAGGAGGTTCTAAGTGCGAAAGTCCCCACCTATCTGCGTGGTTCTGCATGGTTCCCTGCCATCCTGTGCACATAGGCAACATCTAATCTGACCTATAAGACCCTTATGAAGAAACATGTTGGCACACCAACTTGGGAAGACTTTAATTCTACCAGTGTAGGCTGTGATTTAGGAGGTTCTAAGTGCGAAAGTCCCCACCAAACTGCCTGGTTCCCTGCCATCCGGTGCTCACAGGCAACATACCTAATCTGATCTATAATCCTTACCAAGAAACATGTTGGCGCTCCAATCTGGGAAGATCTTAATTCTACCAAGAGTAGGCTGTGATTTAGGAGCTTCTAAGTGGGAAAGTCCCCACCTATCTGCCTGGTTCCTTTGCATCCCGTGCACATTGGCAACATCTAATCTGATCTACATAACCCTTACTGAGAATCATGTTGGCGCTCCAAACACAATCTGGGAAGATCTTACTTCTACCAGAATAGGCTGTGATTTAGGAGGTTCTAAGTGCGAAAGTCCCCCACCTATCTGCCTGGTTCCCTGCCATCCCGTGCACATAGGCGACATACCTAATCTGGTCTATCAAACCCTTATCAAGAAACATGTTGGCACACCAACCTGGGAAGATGTTAATTCAAGTGTAGGTTGTGATTTAGGAGGTTCTAAGTGCGAAAGTCCCCACCTATTTGCATGGTTCCCTGCCATCCCGTGCACACCGGCAACATATCTCATCTGATCTATAATCCTTACCAAGAAACATGTTGGCGCTCCAATCTGGGAAGATCTTAATTCTACCAGAGTAGGCTGTGATTTAGGAGGTTCTAAGTGCGAAAGTCCCCACCTATCTGCGTGGTTCTGCATGGTTCTGCATGGTTCTGCCTGGTTCTGCATGGTTCTGCATGGTTCCCTGCCATCCCGCTCGCATAGGCAACATCTAATCTGATCTATAAAACCCTTATCAAGAAACATGTTGGCACACCAACCAGATTTTGATTCCAGTGTAGGTTGTGATTTAGGAGGTTCTAAGTGCGAAAGTCCCCACCTATCTGCCTTTTTCCCTGCCGTCCCGTGCACGTAGGCAACATACCTTATCTGATCTATCAAACCCTTATCAAGAAACATTTTGGCACTCCAATCTTGGAAGTTTCTGTCAGTGTAGGTTGTGATTTAAGAGTTTTTAAGTGCGAAAGTCCCCCACCAATCTGCATGGTTCCATGCCATCCCCTGCACATTGGCAACATACCTAGTCCAATCCATAAAACCCTTTCTGACAAACATGTTGGCACATCAAGCTGGAAAGATTTTCATTCTACAAGTGTAGGTTGTGATTTAGGAGGTTCTAAGTGCGAAAGTCCCCACCTATCTGCGTGGTTCTGCATGGTTCCCTGCCATCCTGTGCACATAGGCAACATCTAATCTGACCTATAAGACCCTTATGAAGAAACATGTTGGCACACCAACTTGGGAAGACTTTAATTCTACCAGTGTAGGCTGTGATTTAGGAGGTTCTAAGTGCGAAAGTCCCCACCAAACTGCCTGGTTCCCTGCCATCCGGTGCTCACAGGCAACATACCTAATCTGATCTATAATCCTTACCAAGAAACATGTTGGCGCTCCAATCTGGGAAGATCTTAATTCTACCAAGAGTAGGCTGTGATTTAGGAGCTTCTAAGTGGGAAAGTCCCCACCTATCTGCCTGGTTCCTTTGCATCCCGTGCACATTGGCAACATCTAATCTGATCTACATAACCCTTACTGAGAATCATGTTGGCGCTCCAAACACAATCTGGGAAGATCTTACTTCTACCAGAATAGGCTGTGATTTAGGAGGTTCTAAGTGCGAAAGTCCCCCACCTATCTGCCTGGTTCCCTGCCATCCCGTGCACATAGGCGACATACCTAATCTGGTCTATCAAACCCTTATCAAGAAACATGTTGGCACACCAACCTGGGAAGATGTTAATTCAAGTGTAGGTTGTGATTTAGGAGGTTCTAAGTGCGAAAGTCCCCACCTATCTGCATGGTTCCCTGCCATCCCGTGCACACCGGCAACATATCTCATCTGATCTATAATCCTTACCAAGAAACATGTTGGCGCTCCAATCTGGGAAGATCTTAATTCTACCAGAGTAGGCTGTGATTTAGGAGGTTCTAAGTGCGAAAGTCCCCACCTATCTGCGTGGTTCTGCATGGTTCTGCATGGTTCCCTGTCATCCCGTGCGCATAGGCAACATCTAATCTTATCTATAAAACCCCTATCAAGGTGTAGGTTGTGATTTAATAGTTTTTTGAGTGCGAAAGTCCCCACATATCGGCATGGTTCTGCATGGTTCCCTGCCATCCCGCTCGCATAGGCAACATCTAATAATCTAATCTGATCTTAAAAACCCTTATCAAGAAACATGTTGGCACACCAACCTGAAAAGATTTTAACTCGACTGGTGTAGGTGTGGTTTAGGAGGTTCAAAGTGCGAAAGTCACCAACCTATCTGCCTAGTGTTCCTTCCCATCCCGTGCGCATAGGCAACATACCTAATCTGATCTGTATAGCCCTTATCCGGAAACATGCTGGAACTCCAATCTGGGAAGATTGTGCCAGTGTAGGTTGTGATTCAGGAGGTCCTAAGTGCGAAAGTCCCCACCTATCTGCGTGGTTCTGCATGGTTCTGCATGGTTCCCTGCCATCCCGTGCGCATCGGCAACATCTAACCTGATCTATAAAACCCTTTTCAAGAAACATGTTGGCACACCAACCAGATTTTGATTCCAGTGTAGGCTGTGATTTAGGAGGTTCTAAGTGCAAAAGTCCCCACCTATCTGCCTTTTTCCCTGCCGTCCCGTGCACGTAGGCAACATACCTTATCTTATCTATCAAACCCTTATCAAGAAACATGTTGGCACTCCAATCTTGGAAGATTCTATCAGTGTAACTTGTGATTTAGGAGTTTTTAAGTGCGAAAGTCCCCCACCGATCTGCATGGTTCCATGCCATCCCCTGCACATAGGCAACATACCTATTCCAATCCATAAAACCCTTTCTGAGAAACATGTTGGCACATCAACCTGGAAAGATTTTCATTCTACAAGTGTAGGTTGTGATTTGGGAGGTTCTAAGTGCGAAAGTCCCCACCTATCTGCGTGGTTCTGCATGGTTCTGCATGGTTCCCTGTCGTCCCGTGCGCAGAGGCAACATCTAATCTGATGTATAAGACCCTTGTGAAGAAACATGTTGGCACACCAACCTGGGAAGACTTTAATTCTACCAGTGTAGGCTGTGATTTAGGAGGTTCTAAGTGCGAAAGTCCCCACCAAACTGCCTGGTTCCCTGCCATCCTGGGCACATAGGCAACATACCTAATCTGATCTATAAACGTCTTACTAAGAAACATGGTGGCACTTCAACCTGGGAAGATTCTATCAGCGTATACATAGCCTCCCATCACCAGTCTATATAACCATTACCCAAGCTCAAGAAACATGTTCGTGCTCCGATCTCAAAATGTAGTAGTCAAAGTATGATTTCAGAGGTTCTAAGTGCGAATCTCCCCAACTATCTACATGGTTATAAACATATGTAGATGTTAACTCATATCATTAAAGATACTCATGATTGGGAGAGGTTCTAAGTGCCAATCTCCCCAACCATCTATGTGGTTATAAACATATGTAGATGTTAATTGATAACATGGAAGATCCTCATGTCATACGAAGAGGTTCTAAGTGCAAGGTTTTTTGGGTTCTAAGTGCGATTTGCTCGTGTACCTTTGTTTATGTTAAAATTTCCAAAAAGGGTTCTAACCATTTGTCCGGCGTTATATATGTGTGTGTGTCAGTGTGTACATGATTACATATACTCTATATGTACATAGTTTAATATGTTCTATTTATTATTGTATTATCAGTGCTATTATTGATGTTATTAACATTGTCATTACTATTGTTAGTATTATTGTCATTATTTTTTCGGGCAGACAGAGAGTTCTTAGAATGAAAGACCAGGGCGTTGGATCACCTCATCTCCTCCACACCTCCTCCCCACAGCCTGCATCCAGGCCTCTATTTGCCGTATTTGGCCGTATTTGGCGGTCACTAGTTGCCACTTGAATCCACCGAAGCCTGGGAAACCTAGTCCTCATCAGCATCATGGAGTTGTGCAGGTTGCTTCTGTTTGGTATTTCTTTGGACAGGTGTCGTTTTTCAAAGAAATCCCAGGCTGCAGCTGTTAGCTATAATGCGTGCTTTTGTTTTCTTTACCTGCCTAGTTCGCAGAAAACTCTAGGCACAGAGTTTCACACCGGGCTGTTTCAGCGCAAGCCAAGAGATGCAAAGAGTTTCTCTTGCTGGGTCCTAATTTTCAATGCTTGCAATAGGCTGGTTCTCTGGGGCTGCAAGATGGAAACCCAAGCAGTCAGGACTTCAGCATCTTTCTTCCATCCAGTTGCAGGCGTTCAGGTGAACAAGGGTTCCTTGTCATCCTTGTTCACATAGAATTCTTGCGTGAATTCTTATGTGCCCTGGTGCCAAAGGGCAAGGGTGCAGATTATGATCGAGGTCACTCGGCACCATGTAAATGGGCTCCGTGGTCTGAGTTTCGTGACGGGCCGACAGAACTGGTCACAGCGAAGATCATCTTTGTTGAAGGTGCCTCGCCAAACGTTCAGGAGCAGGAAGCCTTTAACTCCATTAGAGTTCAAAATGATCCGGAAGTGTCCAGTATCTTCTGTTTCTTGGCAGCTACCAGATGCAAAGATGACCAGAACGCTGCAGCCATTTGCACATCGGGAAGTCCTCGACTGGATCCACCCAATGTTTACATGTTGGAGCCTGGTGTAGATCACCTGTGCATGTTGGATCCTATTGGTAGGTGGTACTGTTCTGAAATGTTCTGAATCTATTGTGGATCATAGATGATGGATGATGATGGTGGGTGACTGGTAGATGGACTTGTGGATCTTGTTGGGACACCTGAACAGTGAAAGGAGGGGGTTGAAAGCTCGGTGGGCATAATTACCGCGCTATACCGCGCTCACACATTTTCATACCACATCTCACCTAACAACACTTCACAACTGTGGGTATCTTCAATCTCTGTGGGTTAAACATAATATGATTTAAAATATTTTAAATGTTTTTACCATTGTATATATATTTTAATTACTGTGTGAAACTGTTTCCATGTCCCTGCCCAGTGAATATCTTTTGATTGCAGGGTGGCTCTTCAGGTTTGTCTTCCCGCGACCTAACAGCTACCTGATGCCACCTATGTCAAATGTGTGAAAAGATGCACCGAATGCTCAAGCGACAAGGGATGCATTTGTGAGACATGATGGTAGGGCTCGGTTGCTTCATGCTGCTTCAGTTGGCAATGGTGATATCGTGGTGTTGATGAAAGTTGCGGCGGGTTTGCAGGGGGTTCTGTGTGGGCTGTGAAATATCTGATATGATATATAATGATTCTTCAAAAGTAATTTAGGTGGATAATCCGCAAACATTCCAGTTTGTCCACCAATCGCTTTGCCGCTTCTTTATTTGCCCTCAGTGACACGGGATGACAGTGGCCCCCATGGCAAGCGCTTGCCATGCAACGGATCAAGGAGACCAGCGTCTTTTTCTTTGCTCTGTGAGTCGGTGAGCCTACTCTTTTCGTCTACCAATCTTGGCATTTGGAATCTCAAACTGAAATGTATAGTGTAAAAAAGTGTAAATTAATTATGCAAGTTGTAGAAGTATTTGGTGTGAGGTGGCACGTGCATCCTGCATTTGTATGCATTTGTTACGTAGTAGTCGTAGTACGCTGCGTTTTATAACGGGTCAATCTGCCATGGATTCCGCCGGGTGTAGGAGGAGGCTGTTGATGGCCGGACACGGAGCCCACAGAGTCCACAGAGTCCACAGAGTCCACCAACCCAGGCGGGTGAAGGGCTGGGTGTGAGCTGCGCAGGTTTCATGGACTCTTTAGATCTCTTCAGACTGACATATTTTTACATGATTTTACATGAATTTACATGATTTCACTGCGTGGTGATTGAATGAACCTTTTCTGGGAATCCATTCCCATTTAATATTTGATCGTGATCATATGTGTGGTTCTTTTCTTGGTATGTAGATTGCCCTGGTCCAGGTGTTTTGGGTCTGCTTGTGCTAGCCAGCACAGTCATGTTCAAAATTGTGCAATTGGAATATCCATGTGTATCCAGGTACTGGTATGTGAAGGTTAGGCAAAATTGCACACTTTGTTGGAGAGCCACAGCTGCTACGCACCGTTAAAAACAGCATCAGTTGCCTCCGTCCTGAATTCATCCTGCCAGGATGCGTCGGATATGGATAGCTCCCTGGTTCATACAACAGAAATGCCAAGCGTTGGATGGATTGGTTTGGCCGTTTGGCCTGGTTGGATTTTCGCTCCCCCGAAAACCGCAGCCAAAATTTTGCAAGGGCCTGCAAGGGCAACGTGGGCACCATTTCTGTGAGATTTCACTTGCCATTACGTAGTTTGTGAGGTGATGGGAAGACAACTCCGCATCTGAGCCCACAAAATGTTACCATGGTTATCATTGGTTATCAACATTTTGTAAATACAGAATTCATACAGAATTCTGTGCATTGGAAATCTCAGGTGATCTCAGATGGTGGTTGCAGAACCGCTTATGCTGTTTCTCTAAAGCGCCACCCTTTCGAGGCTCCGGCGGCTTTCGGAACGTAGTGACACTGTCGCCGCGCTTCATGCGTGGCCTTCAGCTACCACCAATTGCCACCCGGCAACCATGCAGAGTTGCTATAGTATTCGTAGTTTTGCCTGTAGTCGCATCATTCTGAGGCACTGAGATGATACGATTTTTAGGGCCGGAAGGAAAGCCACGTTCCACAGTTTTGATTCAGATAGTGAACTTCGTTGGTGGGTGAAATACTGCTTGGTACGTCAAAGGTAGGTTTTGCCGAGAGCTGCTAAACATGATGAACATGTCAAAATGCCACTTTCAACCTCAGTTCATTGTGGACAAAAGGCACGGGGCACATCGGGGCACCTATGGCCTATGATATGCGTTGATGCATCATGACATCACCCGGATAATTATATCACAAACCCCGACATATTGAAACATCTTGAAAGATATTGAACTCCATGGCACGAAGTTGCAGAAAATGAGCACCTTGAGGCTCCTCAGACTGAAGATGCCGGGTTGAAACATCTCTTGGAGGAGCGTGATAGCTTTGCAGATTTTTGTGGCTGATGGCTGAGAATAATATAATATATGTGAGATGTTGCCATGGGCCAACCCAGCGGGGTAAAATAGTGCAGTGTGGAATATTGACTTTCACTTCCTAGTTTCGGCTCAGGGACAAGCAATGACAAGCATCTACCCTGAAGCAATAAGCTTTAATTACATGGTTTTACGAATCTTGTAAGCTTGCCGCGATATCAAAGGAACAAGTGGGACTGAAAGATATTGGACATTTCTTTCACGTCGTGCACGGTCTGTTGATTTCTTCAGTGCACTTCTTTGTTGTTCGATGGTGGTTCCATGTCGTTTCTTCTGCACGGAGGAGACTCCAAGCAAATGGTTCTTGGACGACCAGATCCTTGGCTGATTTGCAGCGGAGGCGTGGTCTTATGCTGTTGGGACCGGGCCCACCGACTGTAAAAAATCTGCAGCTGGATTTCCAAAATGTTGCCACGGACTGTGGACATCATTTAACAATATTAAACATCTGATGATGGTCAAGCTGATTATATACTCCTACGGAGGGGGGTTGCACACAGTATCTTTCCACCGAGGAAATATTGCAGAAGGGAAGTTCTGGAGGAAAATGTCATAGACGCGGAGATGCTCAAACGCATTGACTTCTTCAGATCCTTGGCATCATCATGTTACATTTTGCTCAGTTTCAAGCATGAGCAGTTTCAGCCAAGGCCGTTGCATTAACCAACAAGAACATGTTATCACATTATCACATGTTACAACTTCCCTACACACGCTACCTTTGGATTTGGGCATCTTTGGGCATTTTTGAAGTTTGATTGCGGAAATGCTGTGGTTGTCTATGGTTTTCTCATGTTTTCTCTAGATCGTAGCGCGTCATGGCAACATCTCAACACCAATTAAACAATGTTTTTTGCCGTGCTAAGCAGCTCTGTCCGAGGAAATTTCGGTCCTGTTTTCCTAGATGAACTTTTGAACTCACCTGAGCCTTGGCTAGATAGGTTGTAGGATGTTGTAGGTGTTGAAGTCACGACATAACATTTTCATCATTTTCCCGAACTAAACTCAGTCTGGATATGTCTGGATGTTGGTGACTTGAATTCATTGAGAGGCATTGATTGGCTATGGTACTCTGATTCTATGTTTAAATTCTTAACCAACTTGTTTTGTTTAATTTCCATGCCCAATGCGGTGTCGATGTTTGCTTCCGCTACAAGCCAGACGACGTGCTCCCAAGTGAGCAGCACCCTTTTCACTGAGAATCAACCCTTGGAATAATGCTGGCTTGTATTTATCAAAGGAAGTTTAGTGGGAGAAACTTCCGTGTTACGGACTTTTAGAATGTAAAGAAAGAGTTAGTCAAAGAAAGAGTTAGTCAAAGAAAGAGTTAGTCAAAGAAAGAGTTAGTCAAAGAAAGAGTTCGTCAAAGAAAGAGTTAGTCAAAGAAACAGTTAGTCAGGGAAAGAGTTAGTCAAAGAAAGAGTTAGTCAAAGAAACAGTTAGTCAGGGAAAGAGTTAGTCAAAGAAAGAGTTAGTCAAGGAAAGAGTTAGTCAAAGAAAGAGTTAGTCAAAGAAAGAGTTAGTCAAAGAAACAGTTAGTCAGGGAAAGAGTTAGTCAAAGAAAGAGTTAGTCAAAGAAACAGTTAGTCAGGGAAAGAGTTAGTCAAAGAAAGAGTTAGTCAAAGAAAGAGTTAGTCAAAGAAACAGTTAGTCAAAGAAAGAGTTAGTCAAAGAAACAGTTAGTCAAAGAAACAGTTAGTCAAAGAAAGAGTTCGTCAAAGAAAGAGTTCGTCAAAGAAAGAGTTAGTCAAAGAAAGAGTTAGTCAAAGAAAGAGTTAGTCAAAGAAAGAGTTAGTCAAAGAAAGAGTTAGTCAAAGAAACAGTTAGTCAAAGAAAGAGTTAGTCAAAGAAAGAGTTCGTCAAAGAAACAGTTAGTCAAAGAAACAGTTAGTCAGGGAAAGAGTTAGTCAAAGAAAGAGTTAGTCAAAGAAACAGTTAGTCAGGGAAAGAGTTAGTCAAAGAAAGAGTTAGTCAGGGAAAGAGTTAGTCAAAGAAAGAGATAGTGAGGGAAAAGTTAGTCAAAGAAAGAGTTAGCAAAGAAACAGTTAGTCAGGGAAAGAGTTAGTCAAAAAAAGAGTTAGTGAGGGAAAGAGTTAGTCAAAGAAATAGTTAGTGAGGGAAAGAGTTAGTCAAAGAAAGAGTTAGTGAGGGAAAGAGTTAGTCAAAGAAAGAGTTAGTCAGGATATATGAGGTAGTCAAAGAAAGAGTTAGCAAAGAAACAAGTTAGCCAAAGAAAAGAGTTAGTGAGGAAAAGAGTTAGTCACAGAAAGAGTTAGCAAAGAAATTGTTCCCTCACTGTAAATGGGATTGCAAGTGGTGCTGGTGGAGGAGTGGCCGATGGAGTTTTGGAGGAAGTCTCGCACGAAATGCGTTTTTGAGAGATAGCAGATGCACGAAACCTTGTGTTTTTCCAGACAAAGTGCGTCCCCGAACGTCGATGATCTACCTCTGCTGTGCGACGGGTGCGAGACGGTCTCGTGTGTGGTCGGATCATGTTCGGATCATTCTCGGATCGGTTCCGCATTGTAAATGGGGTGTCAACTGTTTTTCGTGCATGTGTGGTCGACAGAATTCCATTGTGATTTGCAACTGTAGGATCGTTCCCGCATTGTAAATGGGGTTGTAAGTGTTGCTGGTGGACGAGTTGCTGATGGAATTGCATTGTGATTTGCAACTTTAGGATCGTTCCCTTACTGTAAATGGCATTGCAAGTGGTGCTGGTGGAGGAGTTGCCGATGGAGTTTTGGAGGAAGTCTCGCACGAAATGCGTTTTTGAGAGATAGCAGATGCACGAAACCCTATGTTTTTCCATACAAAGTGCGTCCCCGAACCTCGCTGATCTACCTCAGCGGTGCGACGGGTGCGAGACGGTCTCGTGTGTGGTCGGATCATGCTCGGATATGTTCGGATCATCCTCGGATCATTCTCGGATCGGTTCCGCATTGTAAATGGGGTGTCAACTGTTTTTCGTGCATGTGTGGTCGACAGAATTCCATTGTGATTTGCAACTGTAGGATCGTTCCCGCATTGTACATGGGGTTGCAAGTGTTGCTGGTGGACGAGTTGCTGATGGAATTGCATTGTGATTTGCAACTCTAGGATCGTTCCCTCAATGTAAATGGGATTGCAAGTGTTGCTGGCGGATGAGTTGCCAATGGAATTCCATTGTGCTTTGCAACTGTAGGATCGTTCCCGCAATGTAAATGGCTGTGTCAAGGTTGCTTCGTGCTGTGGCTGCATTGGTAATACTATTGTCTTTTGCAGCTGGACTTTTTAAATCGTATTGGAGTGGCTGCATGAAGGCTGCGACACTGATTTGTCAGTAGATTTTCTCCATTTTGGCGCTAGTGATTTTCTTTCTAAAAATCCTTTTAAAAAGTGTTTCAAAATCGTTTTTTTTTCGCTCTGGCGTCGAGATCCGGTTTTGGAGCTACAATTTCCGACGCCGTTGTGCGTAGTTCTATTGTGTTTTGCAACTCAGTCTCTGCAGATTGCATTGTAGTGGCTGCGTCAAGGTTGCTTCGTGCTGTGGCTGCGTTCGTAATACTATTGTCTTTTGCAGCTCGACTTCGTAAATCGTATTGGAGTGGCTGCATGAAGGCTGCCACAGTGATTTGTCAGCAGATTTTCTCCATTTTGGCGCTAGTGATTTTCCTTCTAAAAATCCTTTTAAAAAGTGCTTCAAAATCGTCTTTTTTTCGCTCTGGCGTCGAGATCCATCCGGTTTTGGAGCTACAATTTCTGACGCCGTTGCGCGTAGTTCTTTTGTGTTTTGCAACTCAGTCTCTGCAGATCGCATTGTAATGGCTGCGTCAAGGTTGCTTCGTGCTGTGGCTGCATTTGTCATACTATTGTTTTTTGCAGCTCGATCTCGTAAATCGTATTGGAGTGGCTGCATGAAGGCTGCGACATGGATTTGTTAGCAGATTTTCTCCATTTTGGCGCTAGTGTTTTTTTGTTGCACGTAGGTTTAGAGCAGTGTGAAGTGTGGGGCGTGAAGCGTGCAGTGTGAAGTGTGCAGTGTGAAGGAAGCAGTGGGAAGTGAGAAGTGTGAAGTGTGGAGTGTGAAGTTTAAGTTTGGAGTGCGAAGAGCGCAGTGTGAAGTGTGAAGTGTGAAGTGTGAGGTTTGGAGTGTGAAGGAAGCAGTGAGAAATGTGAAGTGTGGACTGTGAAGTGTGAAGTGTGAGTGAAGTGTGGAGTGTGAAGTGCGAAGTGAGAAGTGTGAAGTGTGAAGTTTGGAGTGTGAAGTTTGGAGTGGGAAGGAAGCAGTGAGAAGTGAGAAGTGTGAAATGTGGAGTGTGAAGTGTGAAGTGTGAAGTGCGAAGTGAGAAGTGTGAAGTTTGGAGTGTGAAGGAAGCAGTGAGAAGTGAGAAGTGTGAAGTGAGAAGTGTGAAGTGTGGACTGTGAAGTGTGGAGTGCGAAGAGCGCAGCGTGAAGTGTGAGGTGTGAAGTGTGAGGTTTGGAGTGTGAAGGAAGCAGTGAGAAGTGTGAAGTGTGGACTGTGAAGTGTGAAGTGTGAGTGAAGTGTGGAGTGCGAAGTGCGAAGTGAGAAGTGTGAAGTGTGAGTTTTGGAGTGTGAAGTTTGGAGTGGAAAGGAAGCAGTGAGAAGTGAGAAGTGTGAAGTGTGGAGTGTGAAGGGTGGAGTGTGAAGTGCGAAGTGAGAAGTGTGAAGTTAGGAGTGTGAAGGAAGCAGTGAGAAGTGAGAAGTGTGGAGTGTGAAGTGCGAAGTGAGAAGTGTGAAGTGTGAAGTTTGGAGTGTGAAGGAAGCAGTGAGAAGTGAGAAGTGTGAAATGTGGAGTGTGAAGTGTGAAATGTGGAGTGTGAAGTGTGAAATGCGAAGTGAGAAGTGTGGACTGTGAAGTGTGAAGTGTGAAGTGTGGACTGTGAAGTACGAAGTGTGAAGTGTGGACTGTGAAGTGTGAAGTGTGAAGTGTGGACTGTGAAGTGTGAAGTGTGAAGTGTGGACTGTGAAGTGTGAAGTGTGCAGTGTGAAGTGTGAAGTGTGAAAGTGTGAGGTTTGGAGTGTGAAGGAAGCAGTGAGAAGTGAGAAGTGAGAAGTGTGGAGTGTGAAGTGTGGAGTGTGAAGTTTGGAGTGCGAAGAGTGCAGTGTGCAGTGTGAGGTGTGGAGTGTCGAGGGAAGGACACGGTCGGGACAGGGTGTCTTTGAACTATAGGTCATTTATGTTTGGGAAACTTCCGCCGCCGGCTTGCCCGGGTCTATGTTAAAATTTATAAAGCATTGTCAATCCTGTGGAACCCTGAGTCCATGTAGAACATATTTGATGAATTGAAGGCACTCAAAGAGTCTCCTTCATTGAATTCGAACCTCTGCCTGCTATCTCTGACTGTGGCAAAGCAAGCTAAGATATCCTGCCCTCAAATATCAAGATATAGCCGCTATTCCACCGCCATTCCCCTTGAAACAAATCCAAACGTGATTCTAACAGTTCTTGAATGATATCCACCGTCGCAGCCAGGAAAGCATCCGAAAGGTACTGGTGATGCCTGGCACTGTTCTGTTGCGAGAAGGTTCCCCAGGAGATTCCATGATGGTTATCTCCAAAGGCTGGGTGGAGCTGGGCCGGACATCTCGAAGCGATGCAGCGTAAGATGGGTCAAGGCCTTGGGAATATCAAGGCAAGAGATGCAAGAGTCAATAGCGAGATGTCATAGAAATTTGATGAAATTTGCAGGTGCGCATGGATTCATGATAGATTGTGATCATCGTGGGATTGGTTCCGCTTACAGTGCTTACATTATATTTAGGCAATTCGTAATTCCCTTGCTCATCCGTACCTGATCGAACAGAACGAATGATTTCCAGGACTGTGACATTAGGCCGAACTTGGCCAGCTCTGAAGACATCCCCTGCCATCAATTTAAGCACACACCCACCCTTCTACCCTGATGCGCAGCTTTGTGGTGTACGGTATTCGTTCTCTGTTTATCATATGATCTTGCATTCACGTCAGGCCGCGTGGCGGCATCAGTGAATGGCCGTGTCGTGAAGCACTTGGGTGAGGGGTCATACTTTGGCCACTCAGCATGCAAATTTGATGCCTCAATTTTCCACGCTTGATGGTTCTGAAATGCCCTGAACAAAGTTTGGCTTCTTTTTTTTTCTCCGTTGTCTGGGTAGCAACCGCAGGCAATTGTGACTTGTGAATTTGGTAATCGCAAATTTCCCCTCGAAATCCCTCGAACATGATCACAGAATTCAATAGAATTCACTCAGTGATATGACTTGACAGTCAAAGAAGTCGCTATTCGTGCTTCTGTAATATCTTTTGTTCGATTTATATAAGGCCAGTTTGGTATCAGGTCAAGAAGCACAACCCTTCGAAATGGAGAAATTTATTGCAGACCTTGCCGCGTTCTGCCAGGTGAGTTGGTTTTCCTCGGGGCAACGCTGCTGCGGACTGTCACTGTGACTGCCACCACTTTCTGCCACTTTGGATGCAGATGGCAGATGGTGGCAGAACTCGCTGACATGGTGAACTGAAGCCACTGCATTTCCACTGCATTTCCACTGACATGTAGGTCTTGTGAGCCTTGTGAAGCCAGTGGCAAGCAAAACATAGCAAAACCATACCCATCCTCACATCAGGTGATGTTCGGATAATCTACAACAAGAGCTTCCGACGGAGCCCGGGCAGCAGTATACCCTCTTTCTTTTGATTGTTTTTGAACGTTTTTATGATGGATTTTGGCTCTGATAATAGCCATAATACAATATAATACAGCTAATAAATTCTTCATTCTCACACAACTGTGGCATACTATGGCGCCATGATTTCGCGCCTTGTGAGGTGGGATTCGGATATTCTGGCAATCCGTCCAAACATGCCCAAGCATAAGTGTAAATAGCATTGAGTTCTACAGATTCTAGATTGAAAAAAGGTGGAAAAAGGGCATCCCTATGTTTACATTTCATTTTGTGTTCTTATTTTTGGTCGAGGCACATTTGCTTGCTGATCTTGCTGGCGCGGTGCCATCATGTGAAAATGAGATATTCCACTTGGACCGCTTGGGAGATTCGCCTTTCAATAATGCAATGGAGAAGCATCCAAATGGGTCACCAAGGATCGCTGAAAAGTATCCAGAGGTGCGACGGCCATGTGTGAAAACCTATGAGTACAGTTGAAGTCGGTCCTGTTCACTTCAAGGGACTCAAATGATGTGACGGTAAACAGGGGCAAACTAAACAATGTGATTTGACACCTCCAAATTTGCTAATTAAATTACTGTACATACTGTACGGCGTGTCATTGTCTACTGGCATTGTGCATGATTATCATTATATTTCTTTAGTTTGCAGATGCTCTCCGCATGCGCTAATTCAGGGTGCACCTCCGCTGTTGTCCTTAGTGTTGCCAACTGTTGCCATGCCCCAGCCCCCAAAGTCAGTCCCTCGAAGGTGCAGGCAGCCTTGAGCAAGTTCGACTTGGCAAATGATGTCAGAATGAATGCCAAGGTGAGTTTGGTATGCTTTGGTCGCTTTGGCTGGGTAACTTAGTTCCACCACAACATCCTTTCCATGCTTCGATTCATGAACACCAAGCACCTTCGCACACCACTTAGGGTCTCATAATAACCCCGAGCCTATTCGTTTAGTATTCCATAATCCCCCATAAGTCTTATTCCTGCTTCGAATTCTATGCGCCTCATCCTCGGCTCTCACCATCAATCATGTTCGCTGCGAGGCTGCGGGACGACTTGGAAAAGCACTGGCGGAATCGCTAGCACAAATCTTTCAGAAGCTTGGCAGGTAGCCAACCCCTGCTTGGCAAAAGGCGTACGTCCGCTTACGTTGGGGACCCATGCTAGCCACAATGCCAACACGACCAAACTGATCAAACATGGATGTTACCCATAGACCATATTAGATTAGATTAAACTGTAATATCATGTAATATCATTATATTATATAGTTTCGATTGGAAAGATAGGCGGACAATGATATAGACATACAATATAGAGATATAGACATATAGACATAGAAGTTATACAGAAATGGGTGGGAGGTATGTACGGCATCCCTGCACTTTAGTGAGCAGATGGATATACATACGCCCTTTGGAGAGTCTGATTGCTCCTTCAAAAAACACTGGCGACGTGCTTAAATTATCCCGGCAAGAGACCCCTAGCAGTTACCCGGAGTATGCGGATAATGTGTTATAATGTTGTTTTTGTTGTTGATGATGATGATGGTGGTGGTGGTGGTGGTGATAGTGGTGATGGTGATGATGGTGATGGTGGTGATGGTGACGGTGAGGATATGTGAGGATGAGGAGGAGGAGGATGATGATGATTATTATGATGATGATGAGGAGGAGGAGGAGGAGCCACTTTTTATGGACATGTGCAGGAAACATGCCGCGCCCAAGAATGAGCCCAGAACGCAGACATGCACTCTGTGCGAGCCTGCTCAGTCGAAATGCACTTCAACATACTTCAACATTTCGCAAGAGCCACTTTATTCGGACATTTACAGGAAAAAAGCCGCACCCCAGAGCCGCGGCCCACACTTAGTGCGAGCCTGCGCAGTCGAAACGCATGTCAAGAGTTCGGGTACTTTATACGGAAATTTACAGGAAAGATGCCACGCCCCAAAGCCGCGGCGCGGACCTTGTGCGAGCCTACACCGCCGAAATTGACTTCAACATTTCACAAGAGCCGCTTGATACGGAAATTTACTGGAAAAATGCCGCGCCCCAGATTGAGCCCAGAACGCGGACACACATTTCGTATATTTCGTGCGAGCCTGCGCAGTCGAAATGTAAATCAACATTTCACAAGAGCCACTTTATACGGAAATTTACAGGAAAAATGCCGCGGCCCAGCTGGGGCACCCTGATCAAGCACCGGCCTTTACGTTTACTCCTAGCGTAAGAACCCCTCAGTGTGGACACATTGTTTGGGGAAAAAACCGTCTCTGAGTTGGGTGATGGGCTGTGATGGATGTCGGAGGATGCCGGTTGGTTTCCATGTATGGTACTTGTATGTATAATATGATATAATAAGGAGCTATGTCAGTGGCGGATATGGTACTGCCACCAAGGAGCATCCACGAGGCTCAGCGACTTGGCAAGCACCAGCCACGAGCAGCCACGAGCAGCATCAAGCATCCGCACAGGAATGGCACGGAAATATTGCAGTAATCAATAATCATCCATTGCGTTGCCATTTGGGATTAACAGTTGCTGTACGCAGTCTTTCACTGGATATAATACGGCTAACTCATGCTAACTCTACTGAATCCCTATTTGCTGGAGATTTTTTGGGTGGCCTTATGGATCACCAGACATGACTCGAGGCTAAAGATTTTAATCTCAAGCTTGGGGCAGGCCCCGTGCCCACCTGAGGAAGAACGCTGCCACAAGGCTGTCGCTGACACCAAGAAAACCCAGACTGGGGAGCAAACCCTTGCCGACGCTTGGCTTGAGTACAGTGGCACGTTGGCTCACTGCAATGTGCCGCAGAATACTGCGGATGTACATGGATATAGATCTGGACAGATACACCAGGAGGATCCTGGATGGAACTTTCAAACTCAGAACTATACCATGCCCTACCTGTTGAATTGTCGATGATGGCTATGGATGGTTATGGTTATGGTTATGGTTACATAATATACAGATATATATATATATAATTTATATATACATATATACATATATATATATACATATACATATACAGATATACATATATATATATATATTTACAGATATATATATATATATTTACAGATATAATTATATATATACATACGAATATATACAGATAAGCGAGTTATTGGGCACAATTTATGTTCGACCTTTTTGGACACCAGCAGGATTGTCCGCAGTGGCTCAGGTAGAGCAGATGATACCGGCTTATCCAGTGAAACTGGAACTTTACAGGGCCAGTCACTGAAAGTTGTTGTTTCACTCTCAGCATCTCTCAGCCGTTAATGCCCAGCCGGCCTAGTTTTTGCCACTTGATGATATCAAGTTGGCCCCATTTTGGTCGGCCGCCCAGCCATGTTGCTGCCAGAAATGCCTCTGTGAAAAGACGGGCATTGGACCTGGGACGGGTAAGGCGATAAAGAGGACTCCAGTTGATCCGATTTTGAAGTGATTTCAGCAATTATTTTATATAGTCGTTGCTTCGTTGCGCAACTTAGTTGAGAATGCTAATGAATGCTACAGCTGCATAGCTCCGTGGGCATTGTCAGTCCTTTCGGCGTTAAGCCTTTGGCTCCACATCAATCTTCCAATACAAGCCACACAAAGGTGAAAGATAAAGCACATCGAAACACATCAAGTCACTATTGTAGTAATCTTAGGGAGAGCGTCAGACGGGAGCAGAAGTGGGCGTTCCTTGAAGATCACAGCTGTTGGACTGTCGACATTTTGGCTGTGGATGTGGTCATGATGTGGTATGAACAAGAACTTTGCATACTTCATAGATAACTTGAAATCGTCCTTTTCAAACGTGCTGTCGCAAAACTGACGGTTGGTGCACGCAGCATCGATGTACAGATGACCTGTAAATTGATGTAAATTGAATATCAGATGCCAGGCGGCCCAGAAAGGGTGGAACATTTCGCAGATTGTCCAGGGCTGAGCTGCTCAGCTCTGCTCAGCATGGAATGGGCGCCGGAAAGTCGAAGCCGGACACAGCAACTGGGCATAATAATGGTTAAACAATAAAAAGTTTGTCCAGACATGACACTGACACGCAACATTAAATGGAAAGGCACACGAAAGCCACGAAGGTCCTAAAAGTAAAGGCTGGACTGGACCAGTTTCCTTCTTTACATTGCTCCACATGTCATTCAATATCCTAGTATTGCCCCCAAACAGGTCCTTGATTTCACTGCTAGGCTACAGGCCTAATTACAGGCCACTGGCTTGTCTACATTTTGTGAGTCTACATCTTAGACTTAATTTGGGGCTATGATCGGCCTTGAATTTCTTTCGTATGCACACTAAAACTACAATGGAATTACACGGGAATCATATGATTTATATATTCACTACCGAGCCAAGTTGCAGCTTAAAAACAACCAAGTATTTGATGGCGAACTATATCTGACCATTGAGGTTGGTCCGGAAGCACCTCAGACCTTCGACGTCGGTGACTTGCTGCGAGTGCGTGGCACTGGCCAGCGATGGGAAGGCCAGTCTGCTGAACAGTTGAGGGTTGGAAGGTTTGTTTGTTGAAGCTTGGCACTGGGCTGATCTGTTTGCTTGTTGATGAAAAAATTGTATGAGAAGGCCTGAAATGCATTTGGGTATAAGAAGGGCATTACCCCTTTTTTCAGAGCAACAAATCTAAGACTTGCTTACTGAACATATCTTAGAATATTCAAGTATTTCAAGGGGATCCTCAGCCATCAGTGGAAATCCAGCACACGCTGGAATACTCACCCATATGTCCTAGGCTGGTGAAGCTGTGCTGGGGGCATTTTTCCTTTGTAATAGTAAACCTAACAGACTTTTCAATCAACAAGGAGGATCCATCAATGGCCATTCCAGGAACCCAAACTGGAGGTACCTACCATATGTAAGGCCTATGTAAGGTCTATGCAAGGGGATATACCCCCAAAATATTGCCTTATGTGGTACGGTACCTCCATTTTAGGATTCTGGAATTCCCATTGAATCCATTCCTCGTTCTTTTATCTTCTTTTTTCCCACAGTTTGCTGGTCACCCAGGGCAAGAGCTCACGGCCAAGATTGCCACTTGGCGGAATTCTTGGTCAGGGCCGCGTGTTTATTACATTCCTGGATGAGAGAGAAAATTGGGACAGGAACTACTACATTCATTGCATACATTTCTATAAAGTGTATATGCATCATATAATGATGTGTTTTTAGGTGCCAAGGACCAGAACAGGCTGGCAATTCCACATTCTCCAAAATGAGAGGACCTGTCAAGCGTTGGAGTCCCTGCAGGGGTCACTATGAAGGGCTTGAGCCATCATGGACCTTGTAAGTCCAAGGAGGGTACTTCTCAAAAAGTTTGCTCGGCTCGAGAAGCCTTCAGTAGCCGGGCAATGACTGACGGCACCACTTGCAACATGAAACACGGAATTCGGAACTCTGCCATTGATTGGACACGAAAGACTTGACACTGACCCTCATGGCAGACCACGTGAGACCACTCTGCAAAAAGACTCCACTGCTGGAAGGCCCACCATCATATATAATTACGTATGCTTACCGCTTACCCAAACGGAGCGGACAAGCCATGACAAGCAGCCCGAGGTTGACACTCGGGAGTCGCAGCCTCGGATGGCAGGGAGATGGCGGCAGTTGGCACTATGTAAGCGCAGACTCACACATGTTTATAAAGGAAGAATAATGGAAATTGATTATATATATATAGATTATTATTATTATCATTATTATTGTTATTGTTATTATTATTGTTATTTATTTTTATTTTTTTATTTTTATATGAGAAGAAGAAGATGGCGACTGTGAATGTTAAGCACAAGTATGCAACAACAGATTGTTACCCATAACACTATGAGGAGAAACATCCACAGTAAGGGGTGGACGGGCGAATGGATTCACTTAGGACCACATCTAACCTAGCTATACACCTATATATTATATCATGCCTTGGAAGTCGGCCGCACAGTTTGGTCAGAAATTTATGACGATAGTGAATGATCATGATGGTGATGGTGATCATGATGGTGATGGTGATCATGATAGTGATGATGCTGATGGTGATGGTGACGATGACGATGACAATGATGATGATGATGATGATGATCATGATGATGATGATGATGACGACGACGACGACGATGGCGATGGCGATGGCGATGGTGATGACTATGATGATGATGATGATGATGATGATGATGATGATGACAATGACGATGATGATGATGATGATGATGACGACGACGACGATGACGATGATTGTGATGACAATGACGACGATGATGATGATGATGATGATGATGACGACAATGACGATGACGATGACGATGGCGATGGCGATGACCATGATGATGATGATGATGATGATGATGATGATGATGATGACGACGATGACGATGATTGTGATGACAATGACGATGATGATGATGATGATGATGACGACGACAATGGCGATGACGATGGCGATGGCGATGACTATGATGATGATGGTTATGATGATGATGGTGATGATGATGATGGTGATGGTGATGGTGATGATGATAATGATGATGATGATGGTGATGATGATGATGATGATTCTGGTAGTGATGGTGATGGTGATGATGGTGATGGTGGTGATGGTGATGATGATGATGATGATGACGACGACGACGACGATGATGATGATGATGGGGCGGGATGGAGGTGATGAAGATCGAGGGATTAAAGTGATGAAAGTGATGATGAAGGCGAGGGCGACGCCATCGCTGATTCGAGCAAAAGTGTTGGGCAAGTGGCAGACTCTGATAGATAGACTGTGCAGACCAATTTTGACGTGGAAGTTCCATCGTCGTGCAGGATCTGATAGGATCTGCGGGTGGCCGGACTTAAGCCCTGTCAAAACGTTCAAGATTCTGAGGTCCGATGATACTGTGCAGCTTGCTTGCAGGTGAATGATCGTCGGCGCTGCAAAGCCTGCAGAGCCTGACAGTAGATTGAAAACTGAGTAGCAAGCAGTGAGCTTTCAATATAATCCCATCCCCTTGCCACTGCACAGAAGTGATGTGCACCTGGCATTCTGTGGCATTCTGGCCACCGAGCCCAGGAAATTGGAGTATTTCGGTGGCGGCTTCAAACGTTTCCAGCGCTCTGAGCTGAAACAGCTTGTGGTAAGGCGACCAACAAACACCCACAGCATCAAGGCTGGCACGGAAGGGCAGGGGGAGGGTAGTCTTTTGATGGTGTTTGGATTGTTTTTTTTTTATATAAATGTACTGTAAAATAAATGTAAAAGTGGGGTACGCCGTTTTCCCATGTCCTTCCCTGACATGCGGACCTACCGGACATTTGGCTTCCGACATGTTGCCGCATGACCCAAGCGACTGCTTTGTTTGCAGGACTTTTTTGCAGGTCAGCACCTTGTCCTGCATGGTCCTGGGGGCAGATGGTCTGCAGATCGCTATGTGGCTTTCGTAGCCGCTCGACCTCAAGCTCTCGGATCGCAGAATTATATTTTGAAATATTATAGATATTATAATGACCTGAGATGTGACAGGTGTGCCATAGCATGCATTTCAAGGCTGGTTGTTCTCAGCAATCATGAGGTTGCATATTGAGGGATGTTCTTCACATATTGTAATAGTTACAGGAGATCAGTGGCCACAAGCAGGCCAGGTTGTGTAGTCATAAATATATGTCTTATTATTATTTGTTATTGCTATCATTATGCACATCTATGAATGTAACTACGTGTGTATATATATTAATATATTATTTATATATGCGGAGAAGGTAGGCCCGAAACGATGATCAGCTTTGATCATGATTGTGATATTCACAGACCTCGCAAAGGCAACGGACAATAAATAACGGACAACAAACAATAAGTACTGTAAGTTTTGGAGCTGTCACTTGTCAAAAAGACCAGAAAGGTTCGCAGCAGCAGCTTTGAGGTTGATATTCGCGAGTGCCAAGCCCAGGTGATGCGTTGATCATTGACAGGCCGCTGTCATGTGCAGCTTTGGTATTGGGCCATTTGTTTGCAAGTGGTAAGGTCAGATGAAACAGTGAAGATCCGCTATGCCCACGGCGAGTTCAAACGTTTCTGCCTGGCAGAGCTGGAGATGCTGTTGATGGACTGATGGCAATGACCGCTTTCATTTATCAGGGTTGAAAATGGTTGAAATGCATAGAATGGCATAGAAGCCTTGGAAGGGTAGAAGAAGGATGGACTGAAGTATCTAGTTAAATCATCTTTAATCGTTTAATCCAGTTCACAGGTGTGGGGCCCAGCAGCTGGGTTGGGACTCAACACAGATGGGTATGGTGTTTTGTTTTTGTATCCTGGAAGGCGTCGAAGAAAGCACACAATTTGTGACTTATTTGTGACTTATTTGGTCATTGCATGTCATTGCTATTTGAATAAAGCGCATAAATTATTCTTTTGTCCCCGTTGGCAATTTAGTGAGAGCTGACCTTTGCTGCTAGGAGGGGCAAGCACCTGAAAGTTGGGAGAAGTGGTCCGTTGGAGGCCACATCTACTTGAGAGGTGCACCCTGAGTTTTCCTGTCTTGACGATACCTTGATCCCCTATCCAAGTACAATATGCCATCAGCTCAATGTTTCGGCTTGTGTTTTTGTTGTTGGGGACAATGCTCACCAAAGATGGCCAAATATGCGAATGGCAGGTGGGTTCTGTATGTGGAATATGTTGTTTTTTTTTGTTTATGTGTGATTTGTGTCTGTGTGTGTGTGAGTCGTCTATGATGTTCCGGTCGGAATCCAAAGTTTTTCGTAGCTCTGTTGCGGGAAACGCTATGGCTGCTGAGATCAATGCTGCCACATAATACAATGGTAGGACCAAACCAGATTTGCATCTCCGCATAGGTTCAGGGAAATGGTGGTCAGGCAGTGGCTTGTCATAGTTGATATGTCATGCAACAGTTTGCTCTTACAGTCTTACAGTATTTATTTTGTTTCTGTTTGTGTGTTTGTTGCATGTGTTCTGCAGGGTTGGCGGTAGCCCTTGTAGAGCTGAGTTTCTTATTCTCATTGCAAGAAGAGGTGCTGCGATGTAAATGCTGCAGAAAAAAACAAAAAACATATACAGTCTAGTTGGTTTATTCATCACAAAGCCCCAAGCCGCTTTGGAAAGCTTGGAAGCCAACAAACCTTTGTCTTGCTATGCATTCATTGGACTGAGGAAACTTTGGTGCTACAATCGTTGATATCAGACATTCTGATTCCACCATCAAGGCGGGACCTGCAACTCTTTTTGGGGGAGCCAGCTGCCAGCTTTGGAAAAAACGAGAGACAGATGATTCAAGGAAAGAAAAATACAAGCAAAGGACAATCATTGACACTTCGCAGACCTAGCTGAAGGTTTTTCCACTATGTTTTCCTGAGCAGTTATTTTATAATTATTGGATGTTATTGGCCTCTTTGATGGGCTGCAAGAGTGACCCGGACATTCACCGTTCCCAGACGCTGCCTGGGGATCGGATCCCTTATGGTGCAAAAACATAGCCACTTTGCCAGGTGCAGTACACCTCGGGTGGTTTCAAGCGCTTTGACCTGGCGGAGTTCAAACGCCTGGTGACGGAACAGATTGCCATCCCCGAGAAACTTGGATCTATGGAAGGAGGATGCAATATGATTCGTTCTGGGTATACTCCAAAAAAGCGTAACGACACACTCTTAATAATTGAGCAAAGATTTTTACTCCATTATTTTCAATTATAGACAACAATTATAGATAACACATATAGTGGTTCTATGTGGTTCTGGTATTGCGGCGCTCTCGAAGATGCATCGGGGTGGAGTGCATTGGAAGGATTCCTCAGTGATAATGTCCTTTCGAATTGTTTTGAAAGGGAGTTGCGACCAGTTGCGGCCTGCTACACTCAGGATGTGGGAGGCGAGGCCCTGCTTGTAGCATCCCAGGGATTGTTGAGTGGTGGAGTCAGAACGGGTCAGACAGCTCAGAATTTCTGTCACGGCTTCCGCATAGCACAGCGCTATACAGCAGCACTCTGTTCGGCCACTGGTCAGATTTGTTTGCTGTCAGTGCTCGGAGTGCCTCGTCCAGGATTGGTCCTCAGCCAGCACGCCGGCAATGTCTGAGATGGACAAGCTTCATGATGTGTGGGGCTCAGTCATATTCCGAGGATTTTTGATGAGTCCATGTCACCGCCTGCTGTTCCCCCAGCAATGCAATGAATCAAGAAAGGATTTGATAAGATGCAGTAGTGCAAGTTTTCCTTCAAAGCTGATGCAGGATAGATTTGTTTTCCTGGTTGGCTGTGTTCATCCCTGATTCGAGGAAATTGTGCAAGCCATCAGGAGCAGATGGAGGGATGCATGGGGCAGTGATTGGCAAAACTTCACCATCCAAAAGCTGGCACGAATTGGTCATGTTTATAGAGGGATTGCCACCAGTTTTCCTCGTGGGCACCTCTGGAACTGTTCCGGCAGGCATGGATCGCCATAAGACATGAACGACTTGCCTCAGGATGCACGATGAAGCAAAAGCTGCAGAGTTAGAAGCGAAGTACCACTCAATGCTCCCCTTCGATGTTGGACAGTGGATATGGTGTGTTGACCGGTTTGGGTGGTCAAATCTATTTAGCCATGACTGGGTTGGGTGGACTTGGTGCAGCTTCCGCTGTTGGGGCTGGAACATTTGAATTGAACGGATCTTTGGTGGAAAGGCAGAGCAGTAGGGAGTCCATGGAAGTAGTTATCCAAATTCCCTTCCGGGAATGATCTTGTCGTCCCGCTTACCCACAACATTTGCACTTGGGAGGGTAGTAAATGTAGGCTACAAGTAATTACTACATACTACATACTATAGATATCTATAGATGCTTTGCAGATACAACATGATCCCAACTTTATATAGAGGTAGGATTAGATAGGATTAGATAGGATTCGTAGGGAGCCATCATCCCAGTCCCCTTGCCACGGCAAGACGCACTGAGGCTGAGCCATGGAGAGCAGGTGCAAGACCTGCAAGCAGCTCTGGCCAAGGCGGTGAAGGAGGCGAATTATTTGAAGGCACATTGCACCTGGGCTCAAATGCCGCCAAGGCCTATACAATCAGTGATCAAAGAGGAGAAACATAGAGAAACTCCCCATTGATGCTCCGATGTTTGTGGGATCTAAAGTCTAAACTTCTTATATAACTTGACAGTACTTGACTAGATTTGTGATTTACGACATGTCGAAATTTTAAGATGATTTCGGTATTCATGGTCAATTTTTGCATTGCTGTGCCACCAAGATTATTGGAGATGCTTGCCCATTTTCGCACTCTCGCCTTCTGTTTTGAGAGGCTCAGGATTTGTCAATCCCAAATGCGCGTGTTCTGCATGGCAGTGTGTTCCCAGACATATTTTTGAACACATTTTTGTTGAAAAGTAGTAAATAGCAAACCGGTTTCTCCCTACTACTAATAAACACTCCCCTAATGAAGAGCATGGGCACTTGTTTTGATATGTTTTGCTTACATATCTGGGGTAGTAGAGCCAGGTAATTAGTTATAATGATCATATATGCTTATATGCACTAATGTCGTCCCTGCAGGTAACATACTGAACAAACTTTATATAGTTATATAGGATGATTTATAAAATATTAATAATATTTTATGATTTATAAGATGTTTTTAACATTATTAACATGATTTAATCATATCTTCGTAAAAATTATACAGCCACTTGCCACACCGAGGGATTCAGCAGGAGCTGCAGCAGGCCCTAGGAGAAGATGCCGGGACGCCGGTTGCCATAGACGACGAGCTGGCCACTTGGAGACTGTTCAGAGAACGGCTCATTTGATTTGAGCAATTCCAAAGGCAGGTGACACAGGGAACTTTTGAAATTTGAAAGGAAAGCATGTCAAAGGGTAGTTATGAAATGTTATGGATATTGTGTTGATCTTCTTTTTCCTGCCATAATTAGCTCCATGAGTGCATGAGCTTTTGCTGGGCCAGCTGGGCTAGAATTTTCTCCCAGGCATCAAGCCTATGGACAGTACTACGGAGCAGCACAAGCCAAGCACTTTGTGGAGGAGTTGCTGGTGCTAGTGCAGCTTCGACATAGAAACGGCAGAAACATTTTGTAATGGCAGCAGAAGTGTGATTCTTGATGTCAGTGTCATTTCGGCCGTTCAAAGCATCCTACTGATGCATCCTGAGCGAGATGGTGCGTTCATGACGGGTGCGACCATCCAAGGCCATGGCGCTGCAAATCACTTCTCTCATGTGGCTTCGCACCATCATGCACCTGGGCATAGTAAGTGGCATAGTGACTAGTGCTGACGGAGATGGGGCCGGTGGATTTGCAGCTTATACGGGTTATTTGCAAAATATGGTCTAACTTTCTAAATGTGGTGTTGTTTTTTTTGTAAGGTCATTTTTGCGGCATTTCTGTTCGGGAATGCCAAGTTACAAAATGATACAAAATGGCTCTTACATATCTGTTTGCCAAGTGCAGTTTGGGCGCGCACTATGTGAACAACTATCATGCATGAGTGAAGACCATCGTACTCATACCTCAGGAACTTCCAGTATCGTTATGGTATGACCATGCGAGAAGTGCCCGAGCAGCACATCAGCCGGGGTTTGTGGGTAAGCTGCGGAAAGATCGGAAAGCAGTCCATCGAAACCTGTTGGACTCGACGTTGAAGAATGAACGACCCGTGTGCAGATCACACATTGCCACCCAAAATATGCCCAGCATGCGGGTTTGACATGATGTGACAGGGGGAAGCCGAAGTGGGGTGAAGCCAGAGAACCCGTGGAACCTGTGCCACATTATGATGATCAATGATGATTGTATGATTGTCAATAATTGCCGGGTATTCGTTTCGGCACGAAGGAGACAATGAAAGATTCTATTGAGGTGTTGCCTTCAGCTCGATAATCAAGGACTCGCTGTGGCCCGGTAGTGCCATGACTGAGGCTATGCGGAACTTGTACGCTCAAGGCGGTTTGCCCCGATTCTATCGAGGAATAGGACCAGCCCTCGTGCAGGCCAGGCAGGAGCACAAGGTGATTAGACTAGGACAGCTTGGCAGATCTTGGCAGATCTTGGCAGTATGGCAATACGCAGAAGGAATGGACAAAGCAGAAAATTGTAAAAGATGCACCGATGCACCCCAAATATAATAAATATAGCACTTGTTCATACTGATTCGTCATACTTTGTCTTGAAGTATTGCAATTCTCGCAGGGAGGGTTCCTGATGATCCGTGACCAGGGTCCCTTGATGCGTTTCGTGGACTCATCTGCAAATGCGGGTGTCTTGGCCCTGTTCGAAGCAACGCATGCAGAAAAGATGTGGCCGGCTCCTTGGCAAAGACGTATACAGCGGCTGTGCTGGGTCTAAGGAGTCAGAGCTCCTCATCATGGTAATTATAAGTATATATATATAATTATATATAACATTATACTACCTATAGAAACTTGTGAATTTCATGATATTTCATGTATTCTATGGATTTCTATGGGTAGCTGGCCAGACTTTCCACACTGGCCCCTATAGTCCACAAGCCTTCGAAGCCAGCGTGACCGAGGTATGGATCCAGACAATTTTTGCATCCGGATCTGCTGCCAGCCTTCGTATAGCATTGATGCCGCTGGATGCTGTGAAGACCGTGCTGCAGGACCCTGGCAATTCCTAGCCTGATGACTACATGAGGGTTAGCGGTTCTTACCAGTAGTACCGCACAAGGCGGTGGCGGAAGTTTCAAAAATAGGAAACCTATAGGAAAGGTTGGTTGTTGTGAATCACAGATGGCAGAGCGAAGCCACTGATGGATCGAAAGGTGATTGATGTCTCCTCTCTTTCTCTCTCTTTCTCTGACTATCTACCTACCTACCGACCTACCTATCTATCTACCTATGTATCTATCGATCTATCTATCTACCTACCTATCTTTCTATCTATCTACCTATGTATCTATCTATCTATCTATCTATCTATCTATGTATCCATCTATCCATCTATCCATCTTTCTATCCACCTATCTACCTATCTACCTATCTACCTACCTACCTACCTACCTATCTACCTATCTACCTATCTACCTATCTACCTATCTACCTATCTACCTATCTACCTATCTACCTATCTACCTATCTACCTATCTATCTATCTATCTATCTCTCTATCTCTCTATCTCTCTATCTATCTATCCATCTATCTATCTGTCTATCTGTCTACCTGTCTATCTGTGGTGCAGTGTCATTCAGTGTAAGGTAGTGTTGTGTAATGTAGTGAAGTGTAGTGGAATGTAGTGTAGTGTAATGTAGTGTAGTGTAGTGTAATTTAGTGTAGCGGAGTGTAGTGGAGTGTAGTGGAGTGTAGTTGTGCAGTTGTAGTTGTAGTGTACTGTAGTGAAGTGTAGTGTAGTGGAGTGTAGTGTAGTGTGATCGTAGTGTAGTGTAATGTAGTGTAATGTAGTGTAATTGAGTGCAGTGTAGTGTAGTGGAGTGTAGTGTAGTAGAATGTAGTGAAGGTGTAGTTGTAGTTGTAGTTGTAGTGTAGTGTAATGTATTGGCGTGTAGTGACAGTGTAGTGTAGTGTAGTGTAGTGTAGTGTAGTGGTGGTTGTCGTTGAAAATGCTACGAAACCCTCACGTTTTGCTGCAATGCTCACTTTTGACAAGGTCCACAATCCTTTGCGCCTGCCACGCGAAACGACATCTGAACCTCCAAAAATGGTCCGTACATGGTGTGTTTTGTACATTTTGACTTGGAAATGTGCTTCGCGCCACAACGGCGTGCACTTTTTCGACATCTGAACCTCCAAAAATGGTCCGTACATGGTGTGTTTTGTAAATTTTGACTTGGAAATGTGCTTCGCGCCACAACGGCGTACACTTTTTCGACATCTCAACTTCCAAAAGTGGTCCGACGCTGGTGTGTTTGTACATTTTGACTTCAAAATGTGCTTCGCGCCACAACGGCGTGCACTTTTTCGACATCTCAACTTCCAAAAGTGGTCCGACCATGGTGTGTTTTGTACATTTTCACTTCGAAACGTGCTTCACGCCACAACGGTGTGCACTTTTTCGACATCTCAACTTCCAAAAGTGGTCCGACCATGGTGTGCTTTGTACCTTTTCAGTTGGAAATGTGCTTCGCGCCACAACGGCGTGCAATTTTTCATCTCTCATCTGGCCAGCTGGCTCCGCACCCGCCGCTTTAGCGAACCTACTTTTCGATCCTCCGGAGCCCCAAATCATTGGAAAAACACAATGTTTCGCAACTTTCCTACCTTTTCGCGCATTTGCATCTTCTTTCTTCTGACTCTTTCTCTTCTACTCTTCTCTCTTCTAAGCTTTCTCTTCTCTCTGCCTCTGCCCTGCTCTGCTTTTCATCTGTCCATATTGTCGGAAGTTTGACTTCTAAACTTTCCTTCGGCCAGGTAAGTCTAGGTTGAAATATGGTGAAATTTTAGCAGCCTTAGCATGTATGTTAGCATCCAGGAGCTTGATGGATGGTTCAAGAACAGATTGCCTCATATGAAGCAGCGGTTATTATTTGTCTTGTATTCGAATAGCATTGACCAGGTGACTGCATACTGGTTGGTTTGACAAAAATGTGCCAGAGAGAATGACAAGGATGCACATATGTCACATACGTCATCAATATGTCAGGCTCGAAGTTATTTTACCATATTAGACGGGAGGTGCAAACATAGGCTGTAAGTCCCATAATCCACTTGCTTCCAACTACAACACTTGACCACTACAACACTGCATTGAATTGTAACAAATCATTATACAAAATCTTCTGGTTGCTCCCAGTGCAGGTTGACGGTCAACATGGGCTTGCGCAACTCTTCGCGCGATGTCGCGCAGGTCCCTTGGACAGCCGTAGCAACCCCTGTATCCCAAGGATGCCTGGGTAGCATCAACACTGAGGGATGGTTTTGAATTTCTACTTGATAGATATTCTGAAGATAGTACCACTGTTCTCCCTGGCATATCTGGTGCAAAGGGAGAGGCCTGCATACATTCCATTCTATGTCATTTTTTCCTGCATGAGCACCCTCTTACTGAATTCAACCAAGAAACAACCTAGCATTCAAGTCAGCTACTGTCCTTGTAGCCGTTCAAACAAGTGCGTGCTCCTTCTGAGAGGGTCCCTGCCTAGTCTTTTCCCGCTGGTAAGCCACATGCCAGGTGGCTCCTCAGTCCTATTTCGCGGTGCCATGGCATCATCTGCAGCCACCTTTGTCAGTCACTACCCATGGTTTACAGTGCCTTGGCTCCGGGTGTTTAGATGATGAACAGCCAGGCTTGCATTATTTGCCTAAAGGCCTGCACCATGATATCATTTTCATACAACATCCACAACAGGAAGATGTTGAAGAAATAAACTGCTGATTTTGTTTGTGTATTTTGAAGGGTCTCAGATCTCAAAGAAGCGTTACCATTGACTTCGAGTGACGAACCTCTTCGCTGCAGAAGCTGATGGGCTGTAATTGTGGCATTAATTGCTTTGACTGAGTCTACCCATGCTTTGGATCGAGAGGAAGGAGAATGAGAATGAGAGTGCGAGACCAGTAGGCTAGGGAAGAACATGCCAATGTAGACACAAAGAGGCATGTTCTTCCCTGATGGCAGTGATTGATGGCTCAGTTGCCCAGATAAATCCTGTGCTCGAGTAACTTGCTATGGTGGCTTGCATTGCGGGCTGATGTTTGGAAGCCTTTGATGGGCATGGTAGTATTGGAAGTGCTATGTAGACAGTATAGCACATGATAAGTTATAGAATATCATAGAACCATCTTAGAAAATTGGAGTTGGATCAACATCAGGTATGGAGGCGCACAGGCCTCACAGGGCTGGATTTCCAAAAGTCTTAGTCTTCAGGTCTTCAATTGTCTCAACAACCAGCTGCCGCATTACGACAGACGATCCCAAGAGCTGCTGCGCAATGCCGGCATCGGCTTTTGCGCTTCCGCCGCGTGGCCATCAAGCACGAAACATAGAAAACATGTCAAAACCTGAACGGAATCATGGCCATTTCATGCTACATTTGCAATACGTTTGCAATACGTTTGCCACATTGTTCCACGATATGCCACGACATTGCTCCAAGACCTGTGAAACCTTGTGAAACCTTGCATTGCCCACAGGGCCCATGCGTGCAGTTCAGCCCTGAACATGATGTATCACTCGATGCAATCAGATCTTGCTGCACGCTGCTTTCAGATGCTTTCAGGTTTGCTCAGACACGGTGTCCAACTCCCTTCGGGTGCTGAAGACTCATCGACAGACACGTGAGCAGGGCTCCTACCTTGGCATTGCACAGTGCCTTTCCTGAAGTTACATGATGCTATCGCCGTTGTTGCTGCGTTGGGTTGAGTTGAGATTTGTTGTGTTGAGACTTTCCGTGCTGCATGGCGCTGTGCGCAGTAGGAAGTGGTAAGTCACTTTCACCATCTTTCACCAATGCAGGGGTTTCGGTTTCGCCGTGTTTTTTTGATCCACATCCCCACACGTATTCTTATTCAGATTGACGAAGCCCCTGCTGGATGGCCAAAGATGAACAAAGATGGACAAAGCGTGTTCTTTGAAGTTTGGCTAATTATTAGCACCCAGCAGTTTGAACAGATTCATTTCTCTGGCATGTTTAAATAGTTTTAAATATGTTTAAATGTCTTGAAGGGTCATTGTCAACTGCTGACGATGGTCCGTGGATTGTCCGCCTGCAAGGTCTGTGATTCGCAGCGATGGCGTCGCAGGACTTCTCAGTCGTGGCCTCACCACACGTCGCTTGGTGGCCAGAAGTTGGCTGATCTTGGCTGATGCGCTGGGTATCACTGGGTATCACTGGGTAGTCAGAGTGTAAGATGTGTGGCAAATCTCGGAGGCAAGTGAAGCCATTTTGATCCCTGCACTGTTTGGAGAATTCCTGTGGTTCCCTTGGGATCGGCTGTGCTAACAGTGAAAGGTTTATGGGTTTCGGCAACGAAAGAGGTCTAGACTTTCTTGCTTGCAAGTCAGAACCTTTGAGGATCACCACGGAAGGGTTGCAGATACTGAGGTAATTCCTTGAGGCATGAGCCAGCTGGCAGTTTTCACACAAAGTTTCACTCATTCAACCATACAAAAGCTTGCAGTTGGGAGCACTGCCAAGCTTTGCTAGGCAACAACTTTGCTTTGTGACTTACCCCTCACTGCAAGAATAAGAAAACCCACTACACGATGCTCTGAGGCATCATTGCCAACGGCCTCTCTGGTATGGTGTTTTCTGTGTCCCTTGGCCCGTTCAGTCCAAGCTTTAACCCAGGCTCAGTCTCTGCATCTCTTTACGTGCATCCACACATATCTTCACCAAGAGGTGCTTTTATTGTGCTGACTTCGTTTGTGAAAGCCCGTGCCTTTGCTGACCATGGTGCTCCAAGGCTCTACCGATTGTTTGAGGAGCCCCTGAAGAAATGACCTCTGCGCTGCAGAGCAGATTGGGTTCCAGGCTACAGTGGGGATCAAGTGGAGTTGTTGTATGCTGCCGGTACTGAATGAACAGAGGTCACGGAATCATATTTATATATATATATATCAAATCATTTCAATAGATTTCACCGATTGCACCCCTCCTTACACTACAAGCACCCAAGATCACCCAAGAATATCTAGAATTACTCTACACAAGATCTAATACCATTGCATTCATTTTCTGCGTGCAGTAGTGTGCATGACAGTTGCTGATGATTGTTTGTTAATCCAACACAAAAGAACGCCACAAGAAAATTGATCACGGGGTGGCATGTACGCGTACCAATTATATCTATATAATTGAATATAGATATAATCAATAATTAATGTCAATGGTTGGGGTTCCTTGCACGACCACCTCAAGCAATCCTTCAACATCCTTCAACAGGTTCTGCGTTGGCGAGTCAAGGTGTCCAAAGTGGCATGCGCGAAGCTGCACCTTGCTTGGTCGTCAACAAAAGATGGGCATGTAGGATGATGTAGAATGGTTTTTGCGAGTTTGAATGGTTATTTGGCAAAATCTAGAATCTCAAGTGAGGCATGACGTGCCATGACTAAATTCTTGCGTTGCAACTTATGCATTTACGAGCCACGTTGGAAGACATGTCATCAAGATGTAACATCAAGAATACCCCTCGAGTGTTGCTCCACAGCAACCAAACAAAATCAGAGATCTCGGAAAGATTCGGAAAGAGTTCAAGCAGTAGATCAAAAGCGCATCATCACCCAAGTTGAGCCGAGTTGGTTTGCAAATGTTGGCGACAAAAATTGCAAGGTTGCTGGTGCTGGATTTTTCCCCTTCATGGCACAAATACAGCCAATGCCAGGAACCATGCAAAGACACCACACTTGTAGATGAGTGGGTTTGTGTCCATTTGTGTCCCATGAAGTTTGCAAAGGCTGTTTCTCTTTGAAATCACAGGAAGAAAAGGGATTGATGCACATTCTTGGAATAATTGGGATTCCTAAGCCCTGAACATGCCGTTGAGCTGACACTCAGAAGCTTTCGGTGGAATGGCAGCGCGTGTGGTCGGTGCCATGTGCTACGGGCTGCGTCGTGGGCTTCAACTGCCATGGCGAGCCACATAGGGCGGACAGCAACAGTGTTTGCACAACGCTGGACCAAAGGTGTCCATCGTGCTGATTTCAAGGCCTGTTGAGCCGTGGGTATGATGTATGCTTGTGTTTCCAAACCCAAACAACTTTAATGATGTTTTATGATTGTTTGAGTCTCCATGTTGCTTGGAGTATCTTGGAGTAGGAAATTGCTTAGACTTCTCCATTGCCAAAAACGGTCTCAAAAGGTTGCACAAATTGCACCAAAGATAAGAATCCTCATTGATCCAACAATGAGCTCGGAATTCAGCCGACAATGGCAAGTGGTGGGGGGGGGCAGGGCGGGCACAAAAAACAGGAACCCAGCTTGGCCCTGCCAAGGCATTCTGTGGTCTCAGCGCATGGAGACCGCACTGTGTTCGGGTACAAAACCTTATTCTTGCGCGCCTTTGTTTGCAAGATGTTTGTAATTGTAAGTGACTTGCAGCGCACTTCACAATCTTCAAGATCCGAGAAGAAACACTGATTTGCATTTACATTTGATATGTGCACATGATCGGTTTTCCAATTCATTTCTGTCCTTTTGTACTCAACTTTGCTTCATAGTCCCATTTGGCAGACACCCAACTGGTGCGAATGGTTAGGTGTCAGCAGCGGAGTTTTTCGGTGGAACAGCTGAAGCAGAGCTTGGCGTTGCATCCGGAAGTCCTGAGATGCGTTCCTCAGAATAAGATTCTCATGAAAAACATGGTTTTGAATGGTTTTGATATGTTTTGCTTTTGGTCGCTGTGTTTTATTCCATAGTCTGCCAACATTGTTTTTTTCTGTTCAAGTCTTTCTTTGGTCTAGGGAATCATACTGTCTTCTATATGCACCTATATATACTGATTATTCCTTTCTTGACCCACCACCCATTCTTGGCCCGCGACAGTATCCAATGCTGTAGGGCTATATATAGACCCAACATGTGAAAAGTTGCAGGTCATTCAGTTGCTGTGTTTGAGGGCATGCCCTGATGAGGTTTTCATCGAAAATGTCGCCTACGTCGTAAGGAAAGAGGATGCGCCGAAGGACCAGCGCGGTCAAGACAATAACATAAATGTTCTGCAAGGACGTTTCAACCATGGCAAGGTTATTTTTCGCTCATTAAAATCGAGATTGATCCTGGTGTTATTTCCATGTGGATTTTGCATTCTGTTCGCCGAATTCCACCTGAAGGAGGCCTTTGTTTGAAAAGGCGGTTTTCTTTTGTGTTGGCATGTCAGACAATTAGGGATCGAACTCACCAATGGTTTTTTGGAAACAAAACAAGATGAATCATGACTCTGTGACTCAGATTGGGGTTCTAGCGTTTTCCAGTTCAACGGAATGATCGCCATCAATTGAGGACTCGTAATCCTTTCAGAGCGCTTAAAACCACTAATACAACTAAGCTCGTCAACACTCATACTTCTGTGGGTCCGTCATGGGACAGGCCACCATTTTAGATGACAGCGTGGGTGACTGGGAACTGGAGAAACATCTCATGCGGAAGGCTACGTGGAATGTGGAGTTGGGTAGATGGATTCTTTAAAAGGACGCATCGCGTTATTTTTGTAAGTTTTGAAAACCACTCAACAAAGATGTCCATGGCAAAGTGCTGAGTGGGGAACGAACTCCGAGAGTCAGGGGACGGTGGGACAATGTGATTTATTTACATGCAATTGGTTCTGTGTAATTGGTTGTAACAATGGTTATCATGATGGTAAGTAAAGTAATTACTAATTACATATTCATTATATGCCAGGAAGAACAGTTTTCATGTGACAAACTGTGCTATACACTGTGCTATACCATGCAGTTTGGCTCTACGCGACTGTAGTCTTTTTGGACTTGCGCCTGGAAGATTACGGGACTGAAACATTTTCTCGCTTGACTATATCCGATAACCATGATGTTTGCGCCATGGATTCCATTGGCGTTTCTGCACATTGCTGGAGCTGAACGGGATGAAGTCTTGATGCTTCAAACACAGTTCGCTGGAGCAGATCGGATGGATCATGGTTCCAATGACACAAATTCAAAGGCGCTGGTGTTTTACAACCTATTTGCCAAGGAGCAGGGTTGGGCAACAATACTTGAGCACCTGGTGCCAAACAGTCCATCAGAAGGAAAGTTGATATTTCAGACATGTTCAGAGTTAGCGTACATATATATATGGTCACCGACAGAATTATGGAAAAAAAAAAACGTTCAACTTAGACAGGCGGCGCCTGCGTCCGATTTTTCCATAATTAGGTTTTTCCCCATAAGGGTTCAAAATATCCCGGAAGTGATCCGAACCTTTTTTTTTTCCATAATTCTTGGAGGTGGCCATTATTTCCATAATTGATTTTTCCTGTGAAATCAGGGGGCTAGGGCAGATTGACCGGTTTTTCCATAATTATTTTTTCCATAATTATTTTTTCCATAATTATTTTTTCCATAATTAATGTTTGGGGCTCCACCTGTTGGACATGTCATGGATCCACAATTCAAACCCCTTTTTTTTGGGGGTTATGGAAATATGTATGCAAATGCATTCAAAGTGCGAACATCACATGATATTATGTATATCAATGGAAGACTTAGGGGCATATACCAGATCTTTAGACACATATTTTCTATAATTCAATATTCCCCCTTAAAATGCATTCAAATTGCGAACATCACATGATATTATGTATATCAATGGAAGACTTAGGGGCATATACCAGATCTTTAGACACATATTTTCTATAATTCAATATTCCCCCTTAAAATGCATTCAAATTGCGAATCGATGGACATACAGTCACCGACAGAATTATGGAAAAAAATAATTATGGAAAAAAAAAAGGTTCGTAACTTTTCTATCATAGACAGGCGGCGCCTGTAAATTGAAACGTTTTTTTTTTCCATAATTCTGTCGGTTCCTGTATATATATAGATATATATATATAGATATATATATAGATATATATATATATGTTTAGTATATAGTCTTATAGTTTCCTTTTTAGCTCCTCTGGAATCACTCGCACCCTCGACATCCCTCGACACTTTCAGGTCCGGGTGGTGAAAAAAATGTTTTGTGGTGATTGAGCATCTCAGAGCTAGTTATGTGGGGATTCAGTCACGATTTTGGGCCAATTCAGTCGCGAGTTGCCCTACCTAGGACGCAGATGTGCCAAGAGTGGTAAAGCTGGCGCGAGATCAACTTTCTAAAATAGATCCTGCGCACCATGAGCTCAGGATCAACATGATTGGAGCCATCAAAGAGATTTCAACCCTTGGTTTGGACTCTACCGTGGCGCAACAGGCCACAAGGCGTCACTACAAGGAGGGCAACGAAGATTTGACGCTTCATGATCTTTGGTCTTACTGCCAGAACGCACCTCCCTCTAAGGTGCGTGGACCAATGACAGAATCCATGCAAACTTTGACGGTCTTCGGAATGTCGGGAGGAGATAGATACTAATACTAATATATATATAATATACAATATATATATGATATATTATGTTACCATTGTTTGTTTGGCATCCCTAAGTCAAACCCATTCTGCATAATTCTCGTCAAGAACTTGGCAAAAAAGGAAAATACATGAAAATGCATTAAGTAGTACGGATAGTCCGGAAAGCGGGTGTGCAAAGGCCCTCGACCACTGTGAAAGCGGGTGCCTGCCAGGTAGTGATCTACATCCACTCCAAGGGTTCCTTTCATGACAAAGCTCCAAACAATCATTTGCGACGCTATGCTACAGCTGGTGCCCTCTCAGAGGAGTGTCGTACCATGCCAGATCAGTGCAACACGTGCTCATCCAGAATGAGCCCTATTCCGTGCCTGGCCCCGAACTGAACCGTTTCTAGTTTTTAATGTGCAGCTGCAAGATGTTCTGAGTTTTTGTTTCCTGGCAGCCTGCCGGTAGTTCAGTTTCTGTTGGAGCTCTTGGCTGCACGAATTTAAACATTTTAAACTTAAACCTTGTCTTCTCAATTTGATCCTGCAGGTACCCACAATCGTCTGGCAACATGTGGGCTGCTCGCTGCGGCTATGTCGCCAAGTTAATGGATCCAAAAAAGTTGGTAAGTGCCATGGAAACCACTCCAGGAACACGTCGAGGCTATGCCTGGTGTGTTGGCAGGCGGACTGCCTGATGCGCAGTGGCGGTGAGATTGGTGACGAGCAAGATCCATTGATCCATTGACTGTTTCATCAATCATTACCCGTACTTCAAACATCTTCAAACATCTTCAAATCATGTCTCTATATTTTACAAACCCAAAAGATTGACCAACGGCCACAGACGCGTTGCTTTCTATAGCCAGTCATAGTGAATGATAATAGTGGGGTTGGGCTTGCTGGGTTGCCGCACCCCTGCTAATTTCAGAGTTGTATAGATGTGAGTTGTCTCTTCATCTCTCTCCTTTGACTCCATTGGTCCTGAGGGCTTAGGTGTAGAATGAGATAAAATGGGTAAAACATGACTAAACATGGTAAAACCTGGTCACCAGCAACTGGGAGATGGATCCACTCAAATTATAGTTTCCAGGTATGAGGCACGGGGTCGCATTTGCCCCTACCTCATGTGGGGTCGCTCTTGCCCCTACTGAAGGTGGATATAGGGGCGGAGCTGACCCTAGGGTAGGGGCGAATGTGACTCGACCTCGTTTTGCGTTGCGGGCGCAGTAGTTTTAGAGGTGGGAAAGGACCGTTTTCCAGCTCTAACAGTCAGCCTACGGACAAATCGCAACTGTTATGGAAAGTCAGTTCCAATGAAGTTGTTTGGGATGCTACGTTCTCAGATCCATTTCCGGTAACTTCAAAGACGATCTGGATGCTACGTTGTAACATCCGTTTCAAGCAACTTCCAAGACGTACGGCAATGCTACGGTGCGACATCCATGTCCAGTAACTTCCGCAACGCTCTGGATGTTACTTTGCAACATGCATTTCAAGTAACTTCCAAGACGTTCTGCATGCTACGTTGCAACAACCATTTCAAGCAACTTCCAAGACGCTCTGGACGCTATGTTGTAACATCCATTTCAAGACGTTCTGCATGCTACGTTGCAACAACCATTTCAAGCAACTTCCAAGACGCTCTGGACGCTATGTTGTAACATCCATTTCAAGACGTTCTGCATGCGACGTTGCAACAACCATTACAAGCAACTTCCAAGACGCTCTGGACGCTATGTTGTAACATCCATTTCAAGACGTTCTGCATGCGACGTTGCAACAACCATTACAAGCAACTTCCAAGACGCTCTGGATGCTATGTTGTAACATCCATTTCAAGACGTTCTGCATGCGACGTTGCAACAACCATTACAAGCAACTTCCAAGACGCTCTGGACGCTATGTTGTAACATCCATTTCAAGACGTTCTGCATGCGACGTTGCAACAACCATTACAAGCAACTTCCAAGACGCTCTGGACGCTATGTTGTAACATCCATGTCAAGACGTTCTGCATGCGACGTTGCAACAACCATTACAAGCAACTTCCAAGACGCTCTGGACGCTATGTTGTAACATCCATTTCAAGACGTTCTGCATGCGACGTTGCAAAACCCATTACAAGCAACTTCCAAGACGCTCTGGCGCTATGTGAAACATCCATTTCAAGACGTTCGGCCATGCGACGTTTGCAACACCATTACAAAGCACTTCCAAGACGTCTGGAGTGCTAGTTGTAACATTCCATTTCAGACGTTCTGGCACTGCGACGTTTGCAAAACCAGTTTACAAGGCAACTTCCAAGACGTCTTGGACGCATGTTGTAAAACATCCATTTCAAGACGTTCTGCATGCGACGTTTGCAAACAAACCAGTACAAGCCAACTTTCAAGACGCTCTGGACGCTATGTTGTTGTTAACATCCATTTCAAGACGTTATGCATGCGACGTTTGCAAACAACCATACAAAGCAAACTTCCAAGAGCTTGGAACGCTATGTTGTAACATCCATGTCAAGACGTTCTGCATGCGACCGGTTTGCAAAAAACCATTACAAGCAACTCCAAGACGCTCTGGACGCTATATGTTGTAACATCATTTCAAGAGATTCTGCATGAGGACCGTTCGTGCAACAAAACCATACAGCCACTTCCAAGACGCTCTGGACGCTATGTTGTAACATCCATTTCAAGACGTTCTGCATGCGACGTTGCAACAACCATTACAAGCAACTTCCAAGACGCTCTGGACGCTATGTTGTAACATCCATTTCAAGACGTTCTGCATGCGACGTTGCAACAACCATTACAAGCAACTTCCAAGACGTTTTGGATGCTATGTTGTTGTTCTGGGTTCTACGCCGTAACATCCAAGTGAAAGGTAGGTGACATCGGTACCCCCTAACCAACGTCCCCAAGTCTACCCTAACTGTCCCTTGTCCCATTTTGTCCCCAGATTAAACCTTGACAGGTTAATTGACTTATTAACTAAGAAAGGTCAGTGTCCCCGGTCCGGCCCCTACTAAGCCCTCTCGGCCCTGCCAGGAAGCGATACACGAATGAGTATTGGCTTTATTCACACCCGGAGGCGTCACCTTGCGACCTGGACGCCGACGAAAACTATGTGTGACTGGGTTTTCATTGATGCCCTCTTTTCTTCAGGGATCTGATTATATAAGTCAATATGTGTCCTTTTTTGATCTTTTTTGGGGGTGTCGTTACATTGTTCGTATTTGCGTGTTATTCTGACATATTCTGACTATTTTCCATGTTGTTTCTCAATTCAGCATTGGAGATGGGGTGCCACTTCACAGGTGGGGCTACCGTGACAACCTTTTGGCACTGACCAAAGCGAAATTCAAAAAGGACTTGAAACCAGCACCACGCTTCGAGCTCTCCAGGTTCACCAGCAAATATGTTGCTGGGCATGGTGTTATCATGTTTTATTATGTTTTATTATGTCTTCTTATGGTCCCTGTTTAGATGTTGATGATATTTCAATTTTATGATTGTTTATTCCTGTGTCATTTTTTGGTCGGTGGGAACATGAAGCCAACTGTTTTTCAGCAAAGTAAAGCACAACTTCTGTCTGACATCGTTTTGCCCAGGTGGCGCTTCCCAGTGCTCGGACTTGTCAAGGAGTTGGAGAAACCGAACATGAGCGCTTGGTCGAGTACAAATCTCTCTATGGCAACGATCCACCTGAGAAGTGGTGGGGATGGAGTTTCTTTAAGACTCCCAATGAAGATCCGTTGTCATAGTCATAGGTTATAGTCATGTGTTATAGTAGCAGTAAGGCAGACTTGGCAAAAATGAAGCAGTTGTGGGACTTGCTGCTTGTGACAATAGCTGAACTCGGAAAAGAATGGAAAAGAGCTACTCTTTTAAGCACAGCATTCGCTGCACTGCTGTGCCTGCTTCATGTCCAGGCCACAGATTGGCGAATTCCACAGAATCTGGCAATTTGCTTGCAATTGAGCTGGCAAACAGATGGGGTTGTTGGGATTGGGATAGTTGGGAGAAGGAAAACTGGGAGTTGTGGAACCAATGTTACCTGCAAGTCGCGAAGATTCGACAAGGGATTCAGAGCACTTCTTGGATTTGCATTTGTTGTGTCCATGGCCTTCTAAAGGGATTAAGGGGCCAACAAGTAAGAGTAGAGCCCAGTCATGCGTTCCACCACATACATACTGTAATAAATACAAGCGGTTGCTCCTTAGTTTGTCAGCATTGACTGCCACTGCCACCGCATCGAACTCCCAGCTTCGTGATCCCAAGCAAGAACCACCCTGCATCCCTTTGTTGAATATGTGTGAATCCGCTTGATATCTTTTAATATACATTACATATATTTATGTATACTGTATGTACATATATATATACATGATGATGTTTTATAATTATATAATATCATATAATTCATATTAATAAATTTGTATAATATATAGATTTTTTGATATTTTGTGAGATTTGTTCCAAGCATGTTATCCTTGGCGGACAAGTCCCAGCGTGTGTCCTAGGTGCCACAAGTGCGAGTCTTGGATGACCTTCCTGGGCCGTCACCTGGTGAAATCGCCCGTTCAATGGATAAGTTGCCGTACCTCAATACCTATGGTTCCGTTTAATACCATCCTGAAGCTCTTGCTTTGGGATGCTCAATGAATACCCACCTATTGATAGTTTGATGGTTTGCTAATGTTTGATAATGTTTGATAGTTGATATTGATTGTTTCATGTTGCTTCTGTTGTTTCAGATGCTTGGGTCGTCCAGCGGTGAAGCCACCTTCTCTGGTTGCATTTGCTTCATCCGGTGGCCAACTTTCCCAAACATGCCGCTACCTTCACGAAATTGCAACGGGATTCGTCAGTAAAACTTGATACAGCACTATCAGCACCTTTCCCTTTCACGAGAAACTACTGACCCAAAATTGGAGTAGTGAGTGACAGTAGTTTTCTCTTTAATGCGTGTTGCAAACGCTGAAGGCCAATGATGGTTGCCCTACTTTCATGTTATGTATTTTGCCGATCATGATATGCAAGAAGGATCAAGAAGGATTAACGAGGTGCAAATACGAACCACCTTGGCTAGTGCCCGATAAGTTGTGTTGCAAGGCATGCCGAGGCCTCCCAAAACACCACCATACACCACCTCTATTTTCCAAAAAGGGCCAACTAGGGACCGAAGCTCAGGGAGAGTTTCGTGGTCCCTTTCTCCTTGCTTCACATGCTGCATGTTCTTTTCCAGGACGGGAAATGCAGGGGAAATGCAGGGGAGGTCGTGTAAGTTTTGTGGACAAAGTCCAAGGAGACGGATCAAGGATATGTATGGACCACTGGATATGTGATGAATTGAAGACAAGCACCCCAAGGATCCCCAAGGTAGAGGCCGAGTTGCTGGTGTCCCCTGTGTATTAACCAGTAATCACTAGTAATCACGAATCAGAAAGAGTGGATTTCTCAAGAATGATACCTTTGTCTCACCCTTGGACACCCCCGACCAGGACCATATAAGGATATCTCAGACGTTTGAGAAAATGTAAGAAGGCACTGTAAGCCTGTAAGAGTCCTTGTCGAACAAATTGTGCGTTTGGATGATTTTGGATGATTGAATTGATCTGTTTCCAAGTGTCAAATCACAGAGTCATTTGGGATTTGCAAATCCAGGAGGTGGACGCCAGCCGGAACAATCACATTTGCCTGGGTGAGTTGCTTGGCCTTCATGGATGCCATGATATGCTATGCATTTTCCAGTCATCAGTCATCATGATCATTCTCCGAAATGCCTTAAGGCCATAGGGCTTTCGAATCGGGTTCCCAAAATGCACAGTGCTGAGATATCCAAACTAATTTAAATAGGGTTTTCTTTTTCTAGCATTGTGTCATCTGCACTGAGAAAGTTTTATCAGGCCTTTCTTGTCAAATAACTGCTGTTTGACGCATTGTAACAGGTTGATGGGACACCCTTGAAGAGGTGCAAGTGCTAGAAAACCAACTGGACACTTTTGGCTGGGGTTGATGAATATGTTGAATCCAACGTTCAATGTTCTCAATAGTCAATGGTTATCAAATTAGGGGGCACTATATGCTGTGACGTTTCAGCTTCGCACGAGGCCTACCATTCACAGAGCAAGGGTTTCAATGGGTTTCATATATCTGAAGGATCTCCATGACCCTGCTGACCTTTGAGATCTAAGCAGCTGGGAGTTGTGAGGTTCATTGACTTTTGCAAACGTAGCCAACTCTTCACCGCTGATGAGGCAAGTCAGGTGTGGAAAATGCTGTGGGCATCGTGAGAGTGCTTGTTCGATTGTGGCATCAGAATGCATCAGAATGCATCAGAATGAATCAGAAGTATAGATCTATGAGTAACCCCAACAATATTGGTACGTGTAACAATGTTTCAATTGGATTCATGCATATTCACACTCAATTTGGAATGAACCTTGATCATTCAAAGGACAATTGGGATCAACTTGGAATCTTTCAAGATGTATTCCTGGAAATTGCATGAAGGGAAGAACATGCCTCAACAGATTCTAAATGATTTTAATGCTTCAGCAAATTTCAAGATACAAAGACCTATAATAATAGTTTATAATTATGTTATAATTATACCTCCTTTCCTTTGTCAGAACCCCGTTGCATCCATTTGCCAGGTGTTTCTCAGCAAGCGATCCATGCCAACCACATCAGAGATTTTGCTACTTGACGAGGGGCCTGCGCAGGTGAGCTGATCAACATCAACACGACATGTCTACGGCAAAAACACTGGATTCGTTCAGACGGCCAGTTGTTTTGTATATATATATTCATCATTATAATAATATTATTCTATATTATTCCTATGTCATCTTGTAAGCTTTCAGCAGCTGCACTGAGCAGGATCAAATGAAACTGCTGTTTTTCGCCTTGGAGCGACTTGCAGACTTGAGTCGGGAAGTATGGCCTGGTGTCGTTCAAGCCAAGTTGACCTGCTTTTCCAGCCTTTGGTTGGCCAGAACTTGTCATCAAGGTATCCAAACTTCCAGAGTGATGTGGCAGTACACATCATTTCCTGTTTAGATGTGTTACACGATGTGTTTCTTGAATGGGATACTGTACCAGCTCAGAAATTGTACGCCGACATGTAGCAAGGTTCAGCGAGAACGACATCTTTAATTTGAACGAGTCGGATCGAGCCATGAAATTCAATGACTTTCAGCAGCTGATTTTAGAAGCTGGCATCATTGCACCTCGGTTGCGTTCCTGCAGCTTGGAAGGGCAGACCTTTTTGGGGATGGTTGAAGACTTATTAGCTGTACAGAGCAGTGCTAAGATGTGCTAAGTAGCACGTGCAGTTTGTGTACACTAATTATTTACACATGATTTGGAATATGTTGATGTCTTTGTGCGCATTTTCCAAGAGCTGATTGTGGAAGCGCTGAACTATGCAATTCATTGTGAAGTGACCACATTTCGAGGATGATCCAGAATCTGCAACTCGAAAAGTGTTCCCTGTGCACAACTGCACGTTTGGGTGTCATCGCTAAGGACTTCACATCCTTTCGCGCAATCGGTGACCCCTTGGGAACTCCGTTGGTTTCCTTCTTTGTGGACGAACGGGCTGGGGGCCTCAGACCAAAATGTTGAGATTGATAGCACATGGAATGCACATGGGGATTTGTGGGGCTGGGTCCATGAAGACCGATGAACTTGTTCCAGGATGGAGTTTTCAAGTCCACAGACATCATTCTACAAGCGCTAGGGTCAAGTCGTATCAGCATGTATCAGCATGTATCAGCTCGTTCCAAGTCGCAAGCAAATGGTAGATCAAACTATATCAAACTCTTAAATATGTTCAAATATACTGAAATGATCTCTTAAATGATATTTGCACACAGTTCTGCACACAGTTCCCCTGAGTCAACCCGAGTCAATCTGAGTCAATCTGAGTCATCTTGCAGGTACTCCAGATGATCCTGACCCACTGGTTCGCCATCTACGATGAAGACCAGGATGGTCAGCTGCAACTGGAGGCAGGTTGGGATCGGGAGATATCGAGAGCACGGATTGCATGATGAGAGAAACTGGTGGCTTGCTGCTGTGCTGTCCACATGTCCACACCACGTCTGCTCAAGTTTTCCAATTTTGCACAGCCAGGACTACGCACGGCTGGTTGCTGATTATCAGCTACCCTTGACCGCTGCAGATGAGATCTACACAAGGGTCGTCAAAGAACGACTCGCTGGACTGGATTCTTGATCACATGAAGGTGGTGGGATATTCCATTCAGCTGTTACGAATTCCCATGAACCTGGAAGATCAATGACGACCATCTGTCCAGTCTTTATTAAAGACTAGATGGCGATTGTTCATTAATGCATTAAGAATGAGCTTTCTTGATAAATTTACTTGCTTAATTTAGGTATTGGACTCTTAGCATAGTAGTATGAAAAGGCAGGGAGGTTGCAACTTGCAAGTCAAGGCCATTCATGTTTGGGATCAGTGCTTCTCTATATATTAGTTATTAGTTTGGACTGTTTACTGTTTCGATGGCCACAATAAGCTCATCCAAGCTCCGGCCTGGAGCGGCGAGATGTTGTTTTTTTGAGTGTGTTTGTTGCTTCATCCGGAACACTCACGTGAAAAAAGTTGCAATGCTTCTTGGGATTTTTCACCAAGAGCGATTCAGAGATGTTCGGGCAAATGGATGCCAGTTTGCCAAACAGACAAACAGATCTTCAAAAAATATAGGGCCATTCATCCAATGGACGCCCCATGTGTTATTGTTCTGCGATCAGATTCCTTTCGGTGATCCACTTGATAAGCCAAGGGAGATCAAAGGACTACGATTCGCTTCGTTTCATGAGGACTTGATGGACTTCCAGTCCTTGCTGGTGAAGTCTGGGGTCTTGGCCACTGGTGCCCCATGGAGTAACATGCCCGGTATGTTTCCAGACGAGCCATGCAATGCCTGCTGAGTTCACCACTATGTTCAGCGATGTTGAGAGTCCCTCCCGCCATCAAGGCCCACGATATAAGTAGTTTTGTGAGGCTTCCTGTGAATTATTATTGGTTTCACCCTTAGATATCTATAGATATCTTAATTTCCGACTGGTGCGCGGCAAAGGTTTTTGATGGTTTTTGACCATAACCTCCTTGATTGGCTGTCAGCTGGTGGCATTTGAGAGGTACCTCCATCAACAAGGATGACGAAATGGGCAGACACTGGCGGCAACTGGAAGCTTCACAGCAGTTTCTGGGAGATCCATTTGTTGATTGGATTGTTTTGAGCAAGCGATCAGAGCCCCAGTGCTGACACTCAGATAGCAAGTGGTGACGAGGTTTCTGGTTCCGAATAGTCTTTATTGCTGATGGTCTGGCACCGAGGAGTCCGCAGTCAACAGTTTCCACTGTTGTGTCTTGCGGTTATTGTTTTGATCGGTTTTGATGGTCTCAAAGTGTTGCACGGTCATTGAAGTGTTGTTTGTGCGTCATTGCACATCATGCAATCCATTTTGCGACATTCAAAGGGTGGTCAGTTTCCTCAACTCTGCATCCAAACAAAGCCCAAAGGTCGTTCTGGTACATCTTCACCTCCAAAGGGTCCTGAGCATTTACGCTTTGTTTGCCTTTCTGACACCCATGGACAACATCGCGAGCTCTCTTCTCGGTACCTTGATTGTACTGTTTGTGCCACTTGATAAGATCCAATTGTGTTGAACTTATGTCAGATTCGAGTCGTGAAAGAAACTCCTGTTTGCTCCCCATGGAGTTCTTTTCTGCACGTTATCAGAGATTTGAACAAGATCAGGCTGCATTTGCTGTTGAGAGGGGACATGATCATTCTTGGGCAAAATCTGGCATTTTTGCCATACTTACATATACTTACACTCGTCCTGTCCTATTTTTTTCATTCTCGAAATCTTGTTAGTTCGGGCAGTTCGGGTAGTTTCAGGTTGCCGCCAGGAGATGTGCTTCTGCATGGAGGTGGCGGAGATGCTTCGGTGCTTTGGGGCTCTAGGTGATTTCTGCATATTTCTGCTTCAGTTTTGTGTCGCATGTATGTGGCTGCGAGATTTGTTCCGAGGACAATTAGTAAGTCGGTCGGTAACAGAATGCTTTGAATTTGAACAGGTATATAATTTTAACTGATGTTCATTGAGTTGAATTTATTTGATACTGTATTTGGATATATTTGGATATATGATATATGGGATTGCCCGACAAGTGAGTTTCCTTGTGGAGTTAGCCTCAAGTCAGCAAACTTGTAGATTTAGATCATCAATAGGTCTAATTGATTGCATATCAAGGGCATGTTAGTCTGAAAATGAGAGTACCCGTCCAGCCAATGTAGCATGTGCATGCTTTTGAACCATCTCACTCACTAGCTTCCCCCGGTCGCTCGTATAATTATTCTATGGACCGCAACGAGCTCCACATGCTACGGCAGGTGATTTCTCCAATGATGGCAGCCTGGAGGAGGCGCCCTTGGGGTTGACAGAACAAGGGATATCAAGGGATGGTGCAGAATTTGCCCTGAAGGGTTCATGGAAGATCAGAATTTTGTGAGATTGTTTTAACATGTTTTAACATGTTTTAACAAGTACTTCTGGTATCAAATTAATATAAATTAATCACATTTAATTTGACATCAAATTCTGATTCTTTTATTATTAGAATTAGTTTGAAGTAGTTTGTTCTGTTTGTTCTGAAGAAAATCACAGGTCATGGACTTTGCTGCCTGGCTGCGATCATTGCCGTATCGCCACAAGGTACTGATGCTTGGCTCGATGGGACTCTGTCGAATCTCTTTCGAATCTCTGTGTTTGGAAAATTTTTCAAAGTTTGATCCATGTTTGATCCATTGGATGTGGTGCTGCATGATTCAAAGTTTGAAGCTATTCGGGGCTGCAGGACTAAGACGGATGTTTGTTTCTTGCAGCTTGTTAATGTGTCCATTCCATTCTTTCGCGAAAAACACATCGGAAGCTTTCCAGAATGCCACACGGAGTGAAATTTGACTTGCAGCCTGAACAAACGTGAACACAAGCCCTGAGATATCCTGAGATCATGCAATGAATGCCTTTAAAAAATCCAAGGATTGCTGGAAACCATGAACTCACCTTCGACCAAAGCTATGGTGGGGATCGAGTTCCTGAGCTTTCAATACTGTATACTGACAGTATACTTGATTAATCTTTAAAATCTTTAGTATAGTTTAGTGATGTTTAGTGCGTTTACAATATTTTACAATATTTGACATATAGATACATATAGTGTTTCAATATGTTTTAATGATTTCAATGGCATCGGAGCTGCTGGATGTGAAACAGGTGAAGGGCAAGGCCGAAAGAGGCCAAAGGTCCCGCGATCCAAAGTCTTTCAAAACTATTCAAAACTTGAATGAAGGAGGGTTGATGATGATTGATGATGGCATAGTGCCGGACATTCAATATATAACATGATATAACATGGTATATATATAACATGATATAACATGATATATATATATATAACATGATATATCATGATATATATATAACATGATATAACATGATATATATAACATGATATAACATTGTATATATAACATGATATAATATGATATATACAACATGATATAACACAATGCAAATAAATTACATTGATATCGTTTGATTGCGAGACAATTTTACTTTATATAGCCATCTATTCAGAGATCCTCGCCTGGCTTTGCCTAAACATATCTGCCCAAACAAAATTGCTCAACGTGCGGTTGCAATAATATGCGTTTTGGGTCTTTGTGGTGCATTCATTTGCATGCTGCATTCTATACCCATAGTTCAGTCTTCATAGATGTTCCATCATAGATCACAGATTTATAGTTTTTGAACCTTGCCCCTGTTGGTGTTGATTGCTCCTCATCTGCCAGTTTGTGCGTGTTTGTGTGGATTTCCCCTGATGCATGGAGCGCCAACCTGCAGTGATCCACACAGAATTCTTCTGTCTACAGTACTTCACTTGTTGCCATAGGTGAAGGACAGCACTGCAGCGAACTCCGTCCGGTCGGCCTTCCTCAAGTCCTTCAATTCGAGCCATGCTCTTTGGGCTCAAGGTGGACTGAGGAAGGTTTTCGAGAAGACAGAACGAAAACATGCAGGACATTGATAGGAGTTTCAGATTTCAAGATTTGAGTTTGATCATCATATGTCGGCAACTTTCACAGCATCTGAAATGAAAGCTGATCATGAATAGTGACACATACGGTAGTGACACTGGAGCCTAGGATGGGATCACCTACTTGGAAGATGAAGAGCTGGTGATTTGCTTCTTGACAAAGTTCGCCAGATAATGATAGTGACTGATAGTGCCACTGCGGGTGAGGTTGACAGATCCCAGAACTCTGCCACTACATGCCATGAGCATGCATGAGCAATTTATGGAAGGAAGTTTAGAAGTCAAACTTCCGACAAAATGGACAAATGAAAAGCACAGGTGGGAAGAGTCAGAGAAGAGAAGAGGAAGAAAGAAGATCAAAAAAGAGAAAGTCTCAGAAGAAAGAAGATGCAGATGCGCGAAAAGGTAGGAAAGTCGCGAAACACTGTGTTTTTCCAATGATTTGTGGCTCCGGAGGCTCGAAAAGTAGGCTCTCTTAAGCTGCGGGTGCGGAGCCCGCTGGGCAGATGAGAGATGCAAAATTGCACGCCGTTGTGGCGCGAAGCACATTTCGAAGTCAAAATGCACAAAACACCACGCTCGAACCACTTTTGGAAGTTGAGATGTCGAAAAAGCGCACGCCGTTGTGGCGTGAAGCACATTTAATTTGTCAGTGAAAAATGCCAAAAAAAACACCTCACATTCGGAGCACTTTTAGAAGTTGCGATGTCGAAAAAGTGCACGCCGTTGTGGCGCGAAGCACATTTCGAAATCAAAATGCACAAAAGACTTCAGCTCCGGGCCACTTTTGGAAGTTGGGATGTCGAAAAAGTGCACGCCGTTGTGGCGCGAAGCACATTTCGAAGTCAAAAGTGCAAAAAACTGAGGGGTTCGGAGCACTTTTGGACGTTCAGATGTCGTTTTGCGTGGCAGGCGCAAGGGATTGTGCACGTTGTCAAAAGTTAGCAAAACGCGAGGGTTTTGTCGCGTTTCCAAAAACGATGGCAGGCGTGGGACATTTGAAGAGGATCTGCAAAGATGCATTTTCCGTGGCAGGCGCAGTACAAGAGACATGTTTATCAGAGTTGTTAGGAGGTCCGGGCGCTCCATTTCCTGAAAGGGGTTGCATTTTGGAGAGTCAGATCTTCAGTTTTGGGAAGATGATTTTGGGTGACAGGTGCAGCACTTCGTATGACCCGGTATCACTTTTTCGTGGCAGGCGCAGTAGTTTAGACAA